CTCCCCCTCGGCGAGTCCTCCTCACCCTCAGCCTCTCCCCCTCCCCCTCGGCGAGTCCTCCTCACCCTCAGCCTCTCCCTCTCCCCCTCGGCGGGTCCTCCTCAGCATTTTAATGTTTATTCTTGTAGGGTATTTTTCTTGTAAAATAAGTAGGAAGGACACTTCTTAACCTGAAGACCAGTGGACTCCTCACCCTTAACACATGTCATAGATCTATACTGATTCTCCCAAACTGACTCTGCCTCCTTTCCCAGGATGAAAAAGATTCTGACGTCTCCAAGGAGAACCTGGACGACCTTTTCCCTAACGATGAGGATGAGCAGGGCCCAGGCAGTAAGTTCTGTTCTTGTTGGCATGTTCAAGGTCTTCATTGCCTGATGTATTCTGGTACTGGCTTCTACAGGTTGTCCTTCCTGCATAATCCCCCCCCCCCCCCACACAGCTGTTTTGGAGTAATTGCTTCAGTTGTCAAACCTGTTTAGCTTGCACACTCTACTCGCATTCAATATGCAGCCTTCTGCACCAGAAAGCATTTCTAACAGTTACAGATGCTGCATTACAGCATTACAACAGTCCCCCCCCCCCACCCTGTTTTCTATCTGCATGCCAATGTTTCTGGTATCTATGGTAACAGGCCCCGCCTCCCCATGTCTCCCCCCAGTGCCGCAGCACAACACAGGCAGTGCCGCCGTGGCGGCCGCCCAGCAAGGCGGCTACGAGATCCCGGCGCGCCTGCGCACGCTGCACAACCTGGTGATCCAGTACGCCTCGCAGGGCCGCTACGAGGTGGCCGTGCCGCTGTGCAAGCAGGCGCTGGAGGACCTGGAGAAGACGTCCGGCCACGACCACCCCGACGTGGCCACCATGCTCAACATCCTGGCGCTGGTCTACAGGTACGGCCCGGCTGCGATGAGCTCCTAACCGGCCTGGATTTATACAGACACATAGTTTCTGGGGGCTGGGGAACGTCTCTGCTCTCATGGGAACCATGAATTTAAGCCATCTGACCCTTTCCTTCCCAGTTTTAAAAACCATTGGGACCAGATCATCTATACAACATTTATACAAAGACACACCAAGCGGACTCGCCTCTTTTTACTTGGTGTAGATCCACCTGTATGTCCTACATTTAAAGCTCCTTTGTCTGTTGTATTGCCATTCTTGTCACTCCCTTAGGCGAAGATACCATTTCACTGATTCTTTAACAAGAGGTTTTAGGTGAAGTCAAGCTAGAGGCTATTTTAGTGGATTTTATAATTTTTTTTGGATCAAAGGTTAATCTTAACAGTTTGTAACATTTTATAGTTATTTATGATGTCTTTGCCTTTTGGGTTATTCATTTTGTTTTAATATCTATATATTCCTGCCTTGAAAATGGCTGCAGTTGCTGGCACAGGAGTTTAAAGTCAACATAACGCCACCGTTCCCGTCGCTCCTGTCCTCCTCCTTCCAACAGGGACCAGAACAAGTACAAGGAGGCCGCTAACCTGCTGAACGACGCGCTGGCGATCCGGGAGAAGACTCTGGGCCGGGACCACCCAGCGGTGCGTGCTGGCGGCACAGAGAAGAATGAGAGGGCGGGAGATTTTGCAGCGTGTGTCTGTTTGTGTTTAAAAGGGGGAAATGCTGTTTATTCACAGCAAACATCGACATGAGAACCAGGATAGTGTGACTTGTCTGTCTGGTGGCCTGTGTTTGATGAGGTGTGTTCTGCTGACCCGGTCCTGTTCTGCACTACCTTGTCAACATGAGTCAGCTCTGCTGCGGAAACTGTCAGCCAGGCATGTTCCGGATGCAGGGGGATGCCATATCAGCGGGCGTGGAAGAGCCGCCTCCCTCTGGGGGGGGGGGGGTGCAGATGGCAGTAGCCTACACCCTGTTTATAAACCACAGCTGTTCATATGTCTTATCAGAACTTTCTGGAATTAGGTTTGTGTGGTCTAACATCATCCTGATTTAGGAAAACCAAGCGACAGACACATAAGTGATGCATATTTGTCAGGTTAACGATAGTAGTACCATTATTTGACTGGTATATGGCAAATGCATCTTTATGTCCCTGTCTGAATTCCATGTGCCCCCCCCCAGGCTTGTGGAAAGTGTAGCCAACCACACTGCTCCAGCCCCCTGCCCGTGGTTTGACATAGAGGTCAGGCTCTCATGCACTCCCTTTCACTGGCACACTGGGGTTTGATCGTGCATCCAATCAGAGCAATCGCAGCCACCGCGTTGTCTCCTGTTCTGTGTTTGTGCTGATTTGTCATTAATTTTAGCATGCCAAAGACTTCCTGATTGGTTGGATGTCCACCTCTCCTGTCTCGTGTTCCGGTGAATCGTGTGAGCTGGTGATTGACCTTCGCTCCGAGACTGGCCGTCTCCTCTTGTTAAACCTGTGTCTGTACCCCTCCCATGCACCAGGTGGCGGCCACACTCAATAACCTGGCTGTGCTGTATGGGAAGAGGGGCAAGTATAAGGAGGCGGAGCCACTGTGCAAGAGGGCCCTGGAAATCCGGGAGCAGGTGGGTCAGGGGGTATGCGGTCAGGCTGTGGTCACAGCACTGGATGTCCTTTTTCTGAGTTTGAGATCAAAAGTTTCCTGCCTGCCTTCCTGTTCCCTTGCTGACATAACACTGTGAGTGATGGCAGTCATAGCTGCGGGGGTGTGATGGGGGCTGGTCTATGGTAGGTCTCAGTCTCACTGGCAGAGGGAGTGATCAGCACTGGTATCCTATTGAAATGTTACCCTGGTGAAGCTGAGCTGTGTCTTTAAGGTTCGCCGCATGTCTCCAGTGAGCCCCCCTCCCCCAACTTATCCCCCCTGAGAATCTCCCACCACCCCCCGTGTTGTCAGTGTGCACAGGTTGTCTCTGCTCCAAAGCTAATGATCAGCCTAACAATCTCCCCCCGGCCCCACCATGACACCTATTGTTTACCACAAGTACTTTAAGCCCCAAGGTGTGTGCTGTATCGTTTCACCCCCCCCCCCCACCAGAGTATATCATTTCACCCCCCACCAGACGAAAAACAATCCTGCTGTGGATGGCAGTTGATTGTAAAGGTGTAATGTTGCTCTTGCATTTTTTCAGTCTTGGTCCTCTAGAGGGGTGTTCAAAGACCGCCTTGATAAAGATAAGGACTGTCTGTGTGTGTTGCCTCCAGGTTCTGGGTAAGGATCACCCCGACGTGGCCAAGCAGCTGAACAACCTGGCTCTGCTGTGCCAGAATCAGGGCAAGTACCAGGAGGTGGAGCATTACTACCAGCGGGCCCTGGTCATCTACCAGACCAAACTGGGACCTGACGACCCCAACGTGGCCAAGACCAAGAACAACCTGGTGAGATGTTGATCTGTGATACTGGCACTTGGGTGTTGGTTCAAGAGGTTCACAGACAAGGATATTTTGAGATGGGGGGTGGGGGACGCTAACCTCCCCACCACAATCCCGAAGTCCGAGGATCATAATGAGCTTGGTGTTCTTGTATAACGCGAGTCTGGGCTGTCAGGTCTGGGAGAGCCTGTCCGGTTGTCCTTTGCTGCCTGTTGACTTGGACACATGACCTGTGGGGTCAGTTGCCCATGTGGTAAGTCCTGTTCCCCCCCCCCCCAGGCATCCTGTTACCTCAAGCAGGGGAAGTTCAAGCAGGCTGAGACGCTGTATAAGGAGATCCTCACGCGAGCCCACGAGAGGGAATTCGGCTCTGTGGATGGTGAGTGTGCCTGCCCGTACCTGTGACAACATCTCTTTCCATCTCCTGCCCCCCCCCCCCAGACAGGCAGCGTTTATCAGTCGTCGACAGGCCTGCCACGTCCGTATCAGGCTCCTTGTTGCACTGCTATGTTTATGGAGGTCCCAGATTCATTACTGTGGAGATTTATCACTGCCATTCCTCAACCCCTGCCCACTAATCCGGACAGACATTAGTGAAGCGTTAGCGTGACAAACGGCCAGGTGTTGGCTGTGATTCCCTCCGCCTTCCCCGGGCTTCTGCAGGCTGGCCTCTCTCTCTGAAGCAAAAGTCAGGGATTGTCAGCCTGCCACAGTGAGCTGAAGCAGCCGGCAAGCTTCAGACTCCTGAAAACAACAGTGACCTTTTGGTGGGCAAAGCCGCCATGTCAGTGAGCCCCCCCCCCCGCCCCCCGGCGTATCGCTTATCTGGCTCTCTCCCTCGTTTCTGCAGATGAGAACAAACCGATTTGGATGCATGCAGAGGAAAGAGAGGAGCTGAGCAAGGTAAGTGATGGCCTGCGTTTGGTAATTTTGACAGTAATTGGGCTTTTTCATTGGTATTCTGGAACCGAGCTGTACCTGAGACTAGTTACAGCACGGTTCTGGTTCACTTCAGTTTTCCACTGCCGAAGGGTCGGCTCTGTAGAGGTCGCCGGGTTTCGAGAGCCAGGAGAAGGCGCCTATTTTCTGTTCACACGGTGTATGTCATGACTCATTATGTGCTAATTTCCGCTAGCACGTCTGTGAGAATCACTCTTATGTTAGCATTGAATGATAGCGCCATTAGCATTATCTTGTGAAGATTTGCATGACGAATCCACTCCGTTCAACCTTTCTATAGTACTTTTTAAAGTAGGAGGTTGGAAATTCACAAGTCCTGAGTTATCAGGATTGCTTAAATACATCGCAATGTGCGATTACTACTAATAATGAATAATACAGTGAATATGTCCCTATTCCCTTTACATAATCTGTGCATATTGACACAGATCACCGGTTCTTTCTTGTCCCTGTGTATTTCGACCAATCAGATGGTGGTGACACAGCCAGCTCAGTTTTGTAACTGTACTGCCAGCGCCATTTCGGCACGGGTACAGGTCGTGTACGGCTTGCATACTTTAAAATGGGAAACTGACAGTTTGCGGTATGGATGCGTACGGCTTGATTGCTGGTGGCAGTGGGAAAGCGCTGTTAGTTTCCTGTTGAAAGCAATTGCCCGCGGCCATGCCAGCCATCTCAGCACTGGGTTCTGCAATGCCGCGGATCCCCAGGCCCCTGGAGGGCCTTACGCAGCACAAGAACTGGCCGTGCTGCATTGTCTGTTTGAGAGGAAGTGCAGCCTGTCTGGGTGTTCAGCAGCTGCTCTTACAGCTTTTCCTCTTCTGTCACCTTTTGCTTTCCATATTCAAATCTCATGAGCTCTCGGCGACAGCTTAGTCTGCTTGTATCGCTATGGGCTGATATTTGTGCCACTAGAAACTGAATATGAATTTAATAACTGAATCTGAATTTATTAGTTTGAATCTGAATTCCAATAACTTGAAACTGCATTTATCCTACCTGGAGAATGCGACACTCTATACTTACAAATTCACTTCTCCCAATTCAATTTCAGTTCGCAAATTCAATTTCAATTTATTAAGACTCACAATCCGGGTCCTTGAGGAAAAGTAATCGACCGCAGACTCAAAGCGCAACTCATTTCCACGTTTACGGCAGTTCTGCAGGTCGGGGTAAAGTGGAGGCCTGTGCCATTCAAACGAATAAATTCAGATTCAGTTTTTTAATGCAACAACTGCAGATTCAAACATACGCTATTTATATTGAGTTTCCAGTGGCACAAATATCAGGCCATATATCGCACTCGATATGAAGCCAGCGCAGATCACTGACTGCTGGAACAATGAACAGTCCTGTTTTGAGTGCAGTTACATGTGCCCCCCCAGGGAAAGCAGAAAGACGGGTCGCCCTTTGGAGAGTATGGAGGCTGGTACAAAGCGTGCAAAGTGGACAGGTCAGTACCTGGTGGGTGGGAAGGTGCCGCGGCTGTTCGGTGATGAGTCGTCCTACCACCGTGTGTGGATGCAGTATTTACACTTCATGGAGCTTATAAGCCACTAAATGACTAATTAATCTTAATGAATTCATCATGAGTCTCATGAAGGTACATTAAGGTACTTCCAGCACATCCTACTTTTTAATTTCACTTTTACCGTTATTCCTCACTGATCCCCCAGCCCCACCGTGACTACCACGCTGAAGAACTTGGGCGCCCTCTACAGGCGGCAGGGCAAGTTTGAAGCTGCAGAGACCCTGGAGGAGGCTGCAATGCGCTCGCGAAAGCAGGCGAGTTTCCGCTTGGGTGGGGGGGCCGGGTAAATGACTTGGCAGCCAGGTGCCGGATGTTAAATTAGTGCCGTTAGGAGGACGAAGACCAGGGCATTGGGTGGCAGAAGGATCAAGGACATGTTTCCTGTCTGATGTTACTGGTAAAGCCTCCTATTAAGCGTCTGAATGTATATAGACCAGCACGCTGGGATGTGGACTGGGGTCTAATTCCAGACTATTCATGCAGTTCTCAGGTGGCAGAATGAAGAAATGCATAAACGCATTTAACTCGGCCTACCGTTCTGTTAGACGTAAGACACTGACCTGCGTGAAATAGGCTGGCTCCCCAAGCTATTGCCCCCATTTAGCCCGAATGTCATAGACCTCCCCCCCCCCCCCCCCCCCCCCCCAATGTGTTTCAGATTTTAGCCAAACCGGTCTTAATCGTTTGTGTCGCAATGTCAAATTTTCATTTGAAGGTGATATTTATTCATGATCCTCCACTATAAATGTCACATTACCATTTTGGTCCCTTCACCCCAAAACCCATTAACCACACCAGTGATGTGCACAGACTTTTAGAGGGACGTGTTCAATCGGGGGGGGCATGACAATACATTTTACATGAGAATGTAATGGTATACATGATTATGTAATGGTATAAATCATGAGGTATAACTCGGTATATAACATTTTACATGGCACAAACGACTGACTGGTTTGGTCTAAATCGGACGCAGATGGGGTGCCAACTCCATTGTGGTGACATCACCATATAAATATACCTCAAACGAACTTGGTGCAAACGAAAATTTTAACTATGGACCTGTGTAACCTTTTTGAAACTGAGAGTTACTTCACGGATACTGAGCCATACGAAGGGCTACCAGTTTGATGCACTTCTTAAATAACAAATCTGCTCAGTTTACCTTTAGTTATATATTATTAATGATTAGTGATATTCATCTACGAGAAGATACTGATGACATTTATGATTTTATCAACAATTACTATTTTAGATGCTGCTCACTGATGAGTTGTACTATTTTTAGAACAGGTCCGCGGGCGACTCATGTGGTCCTTGGGGGCATCCTGGTGCCCGCAGGCACCATGTTGGTGACCCCTGGTATGGACTGTCAAATCGCCACCTGGTGGCCCCTAAGAGAACTGCGCTTCTGTTTGCCTTTGACTACAGTAGGAGTTGGTGTGGAGCTACTGTTTTAACACAGATTATCTGTTTGTGCACGTGTGTCTGTAGGGCCTGGACACGGCACACAAGCAGCGTGTGGCGGAGGTCCTGGGCGACCCTGAGGCTCGCGAGAAACAGCGCAGCCGCGAGAGCCTCAACTCCGATGTGGTCAAGTATGAGAGTGGCCCGGACGGGGGCGAGGAAGTGAGTATGAGCGTGGAATGGAACGGGGTAAGTACAGTACACAGGCAGCACCGGGTGGAGGGGCGTGTGTGCGTGTGCAAAGAGGGCGTGACTTGCTCTTACACCTGCCAGTTAGATGAGGGCAGGTATCTGAGGTCATCCAGGACCTGCTGTTTGCAGATTAGCATTAAGTCCCAGGCCTTTTCCACTCTTGGTCATTCCTTAGTTACTTCTGGCTATTTAGGATTTATCTGTGCTTAACTGTGGTTCCTGTCAGGGAAGATGGTGGGGGGGGGAAGCAAATTTTTAATAAACGGCTACTGAGAGGTAACAGCTTATACAGCATGTCGATGAAGCACCTAGACTACCATCAGGTCTCTTAAGATGCTGACCTGGGTGGTCGACCCACGTGAATAAGTATATAAGATTCCGCCTGACGTCTAGCTAGCCGACTTGTGCATAATTACTACAGCGATGCAGCCAGGAGCTGCAGTACAGCAGTGTTTCTCAGCCCGGTCTTCGGGGACCTCCAGACGGTCCACATTTTTGCTCCTTATCGGGAGTTGTGAGGGAGCAAAAATGTGTATTATCCGCCATTCCTGGTCTGGACTCTGTGGCCTCTATGCTGATTGACTGTCCCGGTCAAAGCTTATTATGTTCTTACTACCCACAGCTGCCCACTAACATAGCCCTGAAATAATCCCTCAGATGGTTGTGCTAAGCGGAGTCCCTGTTTCCCTGTTAGCTGCTGATGAGGGTCTGTGGGCAGCTCCTGAATCAGATGTTCCTCAGGGCAGTTTCTGACCCGCAGGCAGACGAAAAGGCTGCAGCTTCTGGTGGCCCTGTGGTCCTCAGTGCTGTCATCTGCCGCAGCCTTTGTCCTGGGTCCGTTTTCTGTTCATTAAGTTTGTCCCTTTTGTCGAAGCCATTAAGACCCCCTCACCGTCTGTGGCCATCAGAACCTTCCTGTCTCTAGCAGCAAGGCAGCCAATCAACAATTCCTAGGGGAGACTCTCTGCCCTCTGACCCGAGAGCCCACGCACCGTCACATACGTGGGCGCTGTGTACTGTACGCCGTTGGATGCACCTCTGCAGCGTTTTTCAGCGCATGCTCCAAACGGCCAGCTTGCCCGTGCTCTTTCTCAGTGGCCTTGTATGTCCTTCAAAGGAAAGCTCCATCCAAGACCTCAATGCCCCACCCAGCCCACATCCGGGCTGCTTCAGCTTATCGACTCTTAATGACGCACATTATCAAAGGCAGACTTGTATCAGGTGCTGCCTGCTTTCCCCATCAGGAGAGCTGGGCTTTGGGTATAGAGCCTGCCTGATGACACAGCAGCCATCAGTAATTAAGATTTTGCCTGGAGCTCTCCTTCAGATGGAGATGCAGTGAAGCCCTTTCCTTGACCTCTTCTGCCTGCCTGCTTGCATGCTTGCTCTGTCGCCTTCATTTTTTTTTTCCTCATCCATTATTGCTCTCCCTCTTCCCGTCCAGTCAGCGGCACGCAGACGCAGGTGATGTTAAGGGTCTGCTGGGATCATGTGTCCCACAGGTGGCTCGCCTGTGACGGCTGGTATCACCATCCCGGTTGAGCACTGGGGTTTGACGTAGAGGGTGAATGAACTCCCCAGATACACTCCTGCTGACCTCTTTGTTTATGTCGGCATCAAATCAAATTATGCTTCATTGGCCATTTGCAGAAACATGGGTACATTAGAATGCTTTAGTTCCCTCCCCCCCCCAAATTCCCTTTTCTCTCCTTTTCACTCATACTCAAAATGTTTAGCGAGGGAGCACATGCGGCCCCAACTCGACTGGGCCTTTAGCCAGTAGCATGACTCTGAGCACGACCCTAAGACTACATTTCCCAGCTCCATGGGGCCATCGGCGCCGCCGGCACTGACAGGAAGTGCGAGGGCAGGGTTAGCAGGCAGCGCTCAGTCCCACTGCTGAGTGGCCGTTCACCATCGGCTGCAAATCCTCCTTATTTTACCCTTCTGCTCCTCTTCTACTCCATTCTATTGTACTTTTGCAGACTGCAAAAATAGAGGCTGTACCCTTTGTGATGGTTTGTACTTTCGAGTGATCCTGCTGGTTGACTTGCTTTTCTCCTTGTGTGTGTATTTCTCTCTCTTTCTCTCTCTCTCTGTCCCTGTCTGGCTGGCAGGCCTAGACCCAGACGCTCCTTTCTGCGACTAACTCGTTCTCTCTGACGGACACTCTGCGACCCTCCATCTCCATGACGTCCTCTCTCTGTCTCCAGCTTTGAATCGCCTCTCTTATTGGGACTCGCCATCTCGCCAAGCCCCCTCCGCTCAGCGTGATTCAGACACCCCCCCCACCCCCCTCCCAGATACCCCGTTGAGCAGGGAGAGGCCCCAGGCCATTCCTATAGTGTTGTCATGGCTGGGGGGCATGGTGTGGTGTGCAGCTCCTGCTCCTTACTCCCACGTTCTCCTGCCTCCCCTGGCATGATTGTGAGCTTGCAGAGAAAACAATCCTTGGCTAATTGTGCTCTCTCCTGTCAGTCATTCGATTCCCTACCTTCTCACCGTCGACCAAACCCAGACGTTAGTGCAGAGTCCAGCCCAGACATGGGCATGGTGTGGCGGGAGGGGTGGGGGCGTGATGATTGCTCCTGACCTGCGGGGAGCCGCCTTCCTGTTCTGCTCCTACTAATTTCTTCAGTGTTGTGCTTTTTGCTGTACTTGTCTTCTAATAAACTTCTAATAAAACTCACTCTTTACTCACCCCTCTGTGCCTGTTGTCTCTTTGCGTGCTTTTCTTTCCTGTGACGTGTGTAAGCTTCTGTTCTTGCCAGCTCCCTCAGCTCCCTTCTTCGCCCCCGACGCTCCAGAAAAGGGACATGCACTCACTGAGGCTCTCCTCCCATTTTTGAACACGCTCGGGTTCCTGGAGGATGGCTGGAGATCGGGCTGGGATGCGTATCTGGGTTTTGGGGAATGTCTCAACCACGAAAACACTGCATGTAATACGGCCCCTGTCCTTGTCTCACAGTTTGTAAAAGCACTGCGCTTATGGGGCGGTAAGTTGAGTAAGATGTGGTTTTAGCTCTTTGGTGTCCTGAGAGTTCACCGCAGGAGTATCCACCAAGCAAAGGGCTTCTAGGCTGATCCTGTGAGTGGGATGTGTGAGGTACCTTGTGAAGCTGTGGTGACATCCCTCTGGGGTGTTGCTGCTGCAGTTTGGCAGGGTCTGGTGGGGGTGGGGGGGGGTCCGGAACTTGTCTGCAAAATCGGTCGCAATCAGAACTAAAAAAACAGATGTGAATTCCATCTTCTGAACTGCTGTGAGTGTCTTAATGGAGTGAACGAGGTCTGACAGTAGGTGGGGGTCAGAAAAGAGTGAAATGCAATGAAATAAATGAAAGGGAAACTAGGCAGAAGAGTAGTACAGCTCCTTGAGAGGGGAGAGGGGCAATCTCGGCTGGATAAATGCTCTCAAACAGCCCAGGAGGAGGCACAGCCCCACCCCCCTGGACGAGACCACCACTGGGCAGTTTTCCTGAAAGTGCAGTGTATGCGTGTGTGTGTTTGGGGGGGGGGGGGGCATGTGCGAGGATAACCCCTCCCCCTCTCTCGGCAGGACGGCTCCGGCTCGCTGAAACGCAGCGGCTCCTTCAGCAAACTTCGGGCCTCCCTGCGGCGCAGCAGCGAGAAGCTGGTGCGCAAGCTGAAGGGCGGCGGCTCGCGGGACAGTGAGCCCAAGAACCCTGGGTAACTAATGCCAACACCCCACCCTGTGCCATGCCGCCCTGCCCGTGCCCCCTCGCCTGCTCCACCAGCTCCGTCAAGAGGGCCCTGCTATCGCCTGCTGGGATTAGTGCTGCTGCTTCGATACATGAACGCTGGTGGGGTTTGGGCTGTGAGGACTGGGTGCTCTGGGGGACAGGGGGAGAGGCAGAGCTGCCTGCCGCCCCCAGTCTCCAGACCATGCTTGACACCCTTCTGGAGCCTCCTGGAAACTGCGGATTCCTGGCTCTGGGCCCCACTGTTTGATCGCTTTCTGATGGTGACTCTCTCTCCAGAGCCCAGGGTGCCAATAAAAAGAAATTGGGCACCTGAGGTCTGGCACCTAGAGCCCCTTGGGCATGACGTACCCTGGCCTAGTACTCGGGCTTCAGCTCTCAGCCAGCACACAAATGCTACTTTTCTCAGGTCAGGTTGTTTGGGGGTCGATCATCCAGCACAGCTGACTACATCATCAAAATGCGCCCCTCACCTCACATACCTGATCAGTCAATGATGGCCCATTTGGATGCTGTCACATGACCCCCCCCCCGGCCTCAGCTCCTAGTAGGTTTCTAGGTGTCAGCTGCTGAGTCTTACTGTGATTGGCCAGCACGTTTGAGCTGCCCGCTGGGCTATCTGCCAGCATGGACTGATCTTAAACGGCCTGGCGGTTCCATGGCTGATCTGTGTACCACGTCAGAGCGGCAGCACTGATGATGTCACCCTGAATGAAATCCCCACCCCCCGCCCCACATTTTGTGTCTATGAGGACTGACCTACTGACCTCAACCACTAACAGACGAAATTTTAAAGTTGCTTTCCCATCCGTGGTTCTGGAGATCGAATGTGTGTGAAGGTTTACATTTTCACGAGTCTCTTGGTTAAGAGGCCGGACTGGGCTGTTTACAAAAGCGTGCTATAGATCATCATGCTACTTAGTCTCGTGGAGTAGCTTTTTTTCTAATAAAACACAGCACAAAATACTCTGAATCAAGCTGCCATTGGCTTCATTGATCTAGGCCTATGAATTGTACTGTAATCAGATCAGAAACAGTCCCACAGCACAGTCACGCCTAATTAATGAAAGAGCCGGAAGCTCAAAGTAGGTTCTGCTTTGGTGCTTCGATGTGGGTGACGCCTCTGTCTCTGTATGAGTCGTGGGCCTGTCTGCTGATTGGTGCTGCCGACAGTGGTCCCCATGGCAATGCCTGGGTCATTGGTGTCCTCACTCTTCCATTGGCTTTTCCCGGTCAATGGTGAGGGTCTGGGGGGGGTCCAGTTTGCCCTCTGCTCTGGCGCCCACAGCTGTTTCCCCTTTGATCACTGAGCAGCCCTGCAGCACTCAGGCCCTATTTCAGCTGCCTGTTTTTGTCTGTTTCTCTGCCTTGATACTATTTTATATTTCATTTTTGCTTTGATTTGTACATTTTGAGTTTAAGAACCTGTTTCTTTTTTGTTCCTGTTGCATGAGTGTGTGCGAGAGCTGTATCTGGCCTGCATGGGTGTCTTTTATTTTGAAATCTGTGCTGCGTTGTTATTTAACATGAATAAATAACTTTTTAAATAAATGCGACCACTTCTGCATGCCTTCTACACCCCAGTGTCGTACATGTCCTGTGCTGTGTCATCATGCCTCAGTGGAGCCCCCTGCTGGCTGTATAGGCAGCACTGACCATCTCGCAGTTTAGCCGGAGTCAGTCACAGGTTGTTACGGTGATGTATACTAACCTGATCTGTACCAGTGCTCTGTCATCCCCATCATCTATAGCCTGATATGTATGTGAGGGGGGTCAGGTGACCCAGCGGTACCAGGAGCTGCTGTCTGGAGGGAGGGGGCCGCAGTAGGATAAACAAACACTGGATAGTTGTGGGGTGGTGGGTGGGCGTATTATTCCAAAGACCTTTTCTTGCATTTTAACACAGTGTCCTTTGTGTAGTAAGCAGCAGTGGCCTTGTCAACCAGTCTTAACGCAGACTGGGCTGGGGGTGTGGATACTGGTGTGTTACTGTACATGCAGTCTGGGATGTCAGTGCCACTGCAGTGTTTAACCCCTGAGTTCCCCAGGGTCCTCGCCTCATTTTAGAGGAACTTATCCAGTTACTATAATTAATGGCTGCCGAGCGACGGGCTTCGCTATTAGGCCAGTATGTCCTGGCAAACTTTCTTTGTGAATCGTAGCTGCCCTGCACGCGCATGGCCACCTGTGCAGCGTCCCCACAATGACTGAGTGCCCCGCCCCCCTCTCTCACTGACTTGTCCTTGCATGTATCGCCCCCCCCCCCCGGATGCAGCATGAAGCGTGCCAGCTCGCTGGGCGTTCTAAACGCACTGGACCAGGCGGCCGGGGAAACCATCCAAGTAAGGAGCCTGTGATTATCTGTCGTCTTGCTTGACACCTCCTCCCTTTAGACGCCATCGTAGGTTCAAGATCGTTGGGACAATCTACAAGGGAGGGGACTGTATCTAGGTCTGAGATCTTAGGGGTAGAAATGACCACTGACATCCCTGCCCCCATCCCAACTGAGGAAATGCAAGTTGGATTTGCATGAAGAAACAATAACACAGGCTTGTAACATTTTGACTTATTTAACTGAGATTCTATGGACATTTCTTTCTTAACTGAAGGTGGAATGGTATAAATCATAAGCAGAAATTGTCCCAGTGTTCTCCAGGCCTGGTCCACAAGAGAAATGTGTGAAGAAAAGGCCCACGGTTCCCTAGCTTTAGATCCGGCATCAGGTGTAGTCTGAGTTCTGGGGTGGGCCTCCTCATCTGCTGACGTAACACCGCTAACACCCTCTCAGCAATGCCTTGTCCTCCATGCACAGCAGAGGCCTGCTTACTAACAATAGCTGTGTAACATCACCGTGGTCTGCAGGCTAACGTCAAATCATGCTCCACTCACTGACCAACAGGTGGCGCTGTCAATTGAAAGTTTTTGTTTTTTCTTCTCCATAATGAGGCCGTTCACCCTTAATCTTGGACAAAACACTGTCTTAGTCAAGTACCTCCCTCATAGGCGACACTGAGCTTAAACTATAGCAGCTGGACATTTGTTTTTCTGGGTCCGTATCTGTAGCTGATAGAAGTGACAGAATGACATTCCTGCCTGAGATCAGTAGATGATAAAATGCAATGGTGTCTCTAATTAGCAACACATTCTGCCATGATTTGTCAGTAATAAAAATGAACCAATAATATAATTACAGTAATTAGGACATAAACTCACCGCGTCACACAATGCCTATTGTAAGCTTGTTTCGCTAAGTACATAGCAGTTGAATGAAAACAACACTTGTGCAGCATTTTTCCTTAAAGACCAGTGTACTTTCACCCTGGCCCTCAATTGGCTAGTGCCACCTTGTCATTTTGGGAGGAAGGTAAAGTCACTGCCACCGTGACTCAGCTGAGGATGGCGGTAACAGTCCCCTTAGGGTTGATTATAGGCCGAGTAGAATTCATTCATGTAACAGTGGAATTTCAGCTATTCTAGAACCAAATGACACAGGGGATAGATCACCCTTTCACTACTGTTTTCCTTGCTGTAACTTTAATAAATCCCTTATAATGACAGTGATTTACATATGTAAGTATTTAAGTTACCTGGTTACCCTCGCTGACTGTTTGCCTTTGTTCCCTCCGCAGGAACGAAATAATCGTCTGAGGAAAAAGCGCGACCTAAGTGCCAGCCACACGGATCTGGCGCACTGACGGTCTTGTCGGGAAGACCGCCCCCTTTCTGAGCAGACGGTAGCCCACGGTCTCCCAGTGTCCCTGCCTCACAGGCATTCCTGTTTTCCTGCGACTGAACATATACACCCTCTGTCCGCTCGATCTCTGCTGACTGAGGTTTTAAGTCTCACCGCCATCTTGTTGCTGGTTTTTCTGGATGGGTGCAGAGAAATATCCACCTTCGCAATGAAGTGTGTAGGACTGTAGGTGGGCTCACTTCCGAGGAGCATCAGCAGGGGGCGATGTGGTGTTTTCATTTTAGGTTGGGTTTTCATGTAAATAGGGGGTTTCTCTCATTGATCATGTTTAAACTGTTGTTACCATTCATCTTGGTTATTATGCTTGAAATGTAGCCTTTCATCTCCTGGGTGAGTGGTCACAGGGTACTATAGTGCTGCCCTCATCACTGACCCCAAGGTTTCACTTCACTGGCTGTTTTCAATACTGACAAGCTCTTTCGGAAAGGCGTCTGTTTACATTTGGTTATAGAAGCTATGATTTCTGTTGGGGCAGGGGGGGTGGGGCTGCATTTTTGGGGATTTTAAAAGCCTTGAAATTTTCACAGAGGCTTAAACACTGCATCCGCTTCAAGATGGATACTTAGCTGTAGATAAAAGAGCTTTGACAAATTAGACTGCAGCTCGACTGACTCAGACTCTGATCTGTCTGTCTCTCAGGATTCAAACGAAAAGTAAAGAGCAGTTTTATTACAGTTTATATAAGTCTTTGATGTGCACTTAACTGAGAATGATTAGACTTATGCCTGTTACACTCTTCAAAAAGGGAACTTAATCCCTTTATATATTAGCTTAGATTTTTTTTATATCAGCTGCTGATTAGTAATGACAAATTTAACTGGTTTGTCTAGAAAAGCATTAGTGTTAAAGCTGCCTATGGACTGTACATGTTTACAGTCCATTTAAAATACAAATGTTACTTTATAAAGAAGAGGTTTGGTTTTGTTCATGCATTAAAAATTGTTTACCAGATTCCACCATCTTACTCAGAAACTAGTGGTCTCTCTATTTTTGGCCTCAAGGAGAAAAAAAAAAAGTATGAATGTGGGAATAAGGCATGTGGCTCTGAATATCTAAGAGGTCTGTCTCCACATGGTGGAAGGATCTGGATTTTAAGTGCTTGTACTCCTAATGGGGTAGAGGAAAGCAAGCTGGCTGAAAGGCAGTGATGAATTTGCCATTAAGTCAGACATCTCATTAGGAATGCGGATCAGAGTGTCCTGTTGCCTTTGTCCGACTGCCCAGAGAACTGAAACAGCCTGACAACCGGGAGTGAAAAGTAACAGGAAGTGGAAAGAGAACGTCGGCCGTTTTTGATTGAAAAAGGGTTTGCAAGGAGCAGAGAATAATCAAACTGCAAATCCACCCATCCTTTGTGGAGCCTAGGGTCTCTCAGAGGAAGAAGGGTCTGAGGCAGGTCGAACCCTGGACAGGATGTCTTGTCTATCAAACTGTAGATGTCCTTCGCAAAAGCTGGAACTATGCTGAGACTGTTGACGTTAACAGGAAGCTGACAGGAAATGTGCAGGATGTGCTACTCTACGTCGCTGGTGGTTAGGGTGAGGAAAATAAGGCACTGTTAGTGTGTCTATTTCATGTACTCCATTTCTGCTTTAACCCTTTGCACAGGACGTATAGAACGCCACATACACACTAATTACCAGTGACACTCTGTCCAAGTTGCTACAGTGTGACTTTAGAAATCCATTGTTTTCATTGTATTCAAACTACCTGTAAATGACTGTACTGATAAAAAAATTAAGCCAGTAACATAAAAATAAGCCATTAGTTTGTAGTAACATACCACGTGCATTGTTTTCCCTGCTTTGAAGTTGTTGTTTGTGAAAGAACTGAATGTAAAATATCACTTATAACAGGGAAATGCCTGTAGACTGTTGATCAGTTTGTGTTATGATCATGACATTTTAAATTATTTTATTCTATGTTCTTAAGGTTCATGTGGTGGTGGAATATTTTTAGTCTGAAAGCATATATGGATACAAATATGAAGATCACTGTGTGAATTATGTACTGTTCGTATTAGAGGTTAAGTGTCCCATTTCCATTTGCTTCTGTCTTACTGGTCATTTAAAGTATTTAAAATACATGTGTTCCCTCCATCTTAGAAGTGTCTGTTGCCTGATGAGATCTTTTATTCATGAATACTCATCTGTTTTTCAGTCAAAGGGTTATTCACGAACATCAGACAACTGGTGCGGCATCTACACTCTCAAAAAAAGGGTACAAATTTGTACCTTTGCTTGTCACTGGGCCTGTAGCCTTGTACCTTTTAAGGTATAGAAATGGATTTTGAGGAACATCCCAAAGGTACAAACAGTTTTAATGTACTGTCAGTTGTACAGAAATGTTCCTCAGTGTCCAGTTCTGTACCTTAAAAGGTACAATTACCTACAGCTAAGGGTACAACTGACAGACCCTTGAGGGTACAGCCCCAGTGACAAGCAAAGGTACAAATTTTTATCCTTTTTTCTGAGAGTGTATTGACTATTTCCCTCTGTGACTTCAGTGGCAGGAAATTTCATACTGGAAAATCTAGACTCTTAAATCTGGGCTATGTAAAGAATGCAGTGGGAATATTGCAGAATCCATAGTGATTTCAGTACATTTTAGCCAGGCCCTGTACAGCGGGGTTCACTCAATGGTATTATAACTAAGCAATCCAAACGTCTGCCCACCTCTATTCCTGTCGGCTCTGGTTCCATTTCTTTATTGTACGCTTTTTATAAAATGTTTTTGTTAAAATGTTGTAGGGGGTACAGTGGTCACTTTTCTTCAGGCAGTATGTTACGCTGGTGACATCTCGTTAACCAGACTTGTGTTTACATAAATAGACTGCAAAAAATATATAAAAGATTGCAAAAAATCGTGTATTTGTACACTTTTAAAAATATCATTACTTAATGTCAGGCCAAAATTGCCCTGATGAATACCACAAGTACCTCCCTTTCTATCTGTCATGCACGCACTTGTCACTTGCCAACCAAGCGCAAACCGACATCACTGATTCAGCGAACACCCCAATGTAGTTATAAAACTGGTCCAGCAGAGGGCATCAAAGCTCCGCTTAAACTGACCCTACTTTGCAGGACCACTATCCACGGTGCGTGAGTGAAAACTGGGGCTACACAAGCGTCTCTCCTGTAGGCTGCGCTCTAACGGCAGATGTCCTCCTTAGACACCAATCAGCCCGTTTCACCAAGAAACCGTTCCAGTCTGCTAAAAATAAGCACAAGACCTACTTTTGTAAAAATAAAGGCGCTTGTATGCTTTCCACAAACGATATGAAGTGCTTTCCGTTTCATTTAGAGGGAAGCAATGCGCTGCGTTATTGAGTGTAATCGATTCTTCCAGGACTGGCAGACAAGAACGAGGGTTCAACATCCCCAATGTGTTCCATATTGTGGTCTCTCAAAGCAGTGAAAACCCTATCACACCTAAGTAGGTACCCAAAGCAAATTAAAAGCGTAGCTGTTATAGAGATAAACATGTCACATAACCGAAAGTCCACTTCGGTACGCATACCACCAGCTAATACATGTCTTAAGTTACCAGTTGCTCCAGTGAAACACAATTAAAGGGTTACACAACGCTGCTGACAAACGTCATCCAACAGTAACATCCTTCTTGCGCTAAATGCGTAATCGCAGTATTTAACAATTAATTTATATTCAATCAAGCATCATAGACTGGATGCAGGCTCACGCGTTCTGTAACAATGGGCGGGACCAAAAACACCAAACAATTGTTTTAATTGGCCCTTTCTCCAGACAGTCATATGACCGTAACCAGAGGCGCTCGACCCTCCCATTGGTTGCTCGTTCTGTCAGTCCGCAGAAGCTTTGGGGCGCGTGTGGGTGAAGGCGAGGGTGGAAGGGTGGGAAAATGTCCTCTGTGCCAGACGGCAAGAAATTGGTGCGCAGCCCGAGCGGACTTCGCATGGTACCCGAGAACGGAGCATTTAACAGCCCCTTTTCGCTGGACGAACCGCAGTGGGTGCCGGATAAAGAGGTGAGCGAAAGAGGGCTCGCCGCCTGGGCGTTGTATTGCAGGCTGCTGTCAGTCGTCCACAGGCTGATTCCTCATATATTTTCCTGACGGATCGGATCCGGGACTTGGAGGGTGTGGAGTTTCACCAATTTGTCTAGCAAATCATGCGCCTTTAATTAAGTAAGAAAACAAGATGCTTTTGTTTTTCCGCTGGTCTAGCCTTGTATGCAAGTGAAACCAACTGTGAGATAAATACGCCTGTCACACTGACATCACTCAACAGAACAAAAACATAACGCTGTGTTCGCTTTACGTTGTACTTTTAGTTCGTATTTATTTGTACGAATAATCGTTTCTGCTTGCTTTTGGCGAAATGGGAAAATAGCAGTTTGAAATCTGGTTAGCTTGCAGTTCTGACTTGAAAGATGCGAGTCCAGCTACATACTCATGAAATATTGCACGAATAGTTAAGGCCGTAATTTCACGATGCAATCGGAAAAACATTCTCCCGTCTTCTGTTCGAAAGCGTCGGTCGTTTAAACGCCTCGTCCTTAAAAATGGCTGTTTACGGGATTATTGCATAATCGCACTGACATTTTAAAAGCCTATAAAAGTGGAGCCATTTTTTAACAGCTTTTCAACAGAGTGCCGGATCTGCACGGTGTCTCCGCAGCATCTGCTGAATCTCCCGTCCGGAAATTAAAGGCTTGGCTACCCGTGTGTTTTATTTATTAGCCTCTCAGAGAACGGTGTGGTTTCTCGTTTATAAGTCGTGCGTCTCATTTCCTGACTCACGGACCATGTTTACACAGCCGAGGGACTGTACGCTCGCTGTCTGGATCGGATCCTTTCGCCGTAAAATTATCACGCACCTACACACACTTTCTGAAAACACTTATTTGCTCAGCACACGAAAACATTATTTTTATGAACATGTGCTACGTACCTATTTGTAAAATTGAAGACTTGTACGTAGGGATCTGCCGGGTTTCTCTGGTTGATTTCCTCTGGGGTAATGACCGACTCCTGTTGTTTTGCTGGGTCGTGAGGATGTCACACCTTTAGTGAATGGCGCTGTGATTCTTGAGTTTTCTTTAATTCTTCGTATCTTAATTGCAAAGTAGCAACTTTTTCAGAAACTTTGCGCAGCTTCAGCAGGGAGGACCCATGCCCGTATCTGGAAATGGGCACTTAACCGCATGTTTGTATAGCCTGCGACCGATCGACGACTGTATTCCCGGTTTTGGTCCTGCTGCTGCTCTACTCCTGTTCGCGATTGTATGTGTTTGTTAGTGTGCTTTTTATCCTGTGTAGTACAACCCCAGGTTTTAGGCAGTCAAATAAAACGTTTAAGGCTGTTTATCTGGGTAGTAAATTAGAACCATTAGAACCTAGGCAAATTAACAGCAACTAGACATTAAATAAACCAGAATTTCTTCTGTTCTCCAAAAAAAGTTACTGAGATCTTGGACATTTAAATGAACACTGCTTTTGGTGCCCTCTGGGCCACCCATTCCATATGTGCTCTGGTAATGGGTTAAATAACATATTGAGGAATTTGATCAGCCCATTAAGGTGGGGTAGCAGTCCAGTCAAAAATACATCAGTGTTGGACAATTGCTGCAAATACTGGGATGATTTTAGAAGCGGTTTTGAAATGGCGAAGCTGACGCACTTTATTGTACCATCAATGTCAAGATCACTTAAACATCATTTTCTTCGACAGTTAGACTCTTGCACAGTATTGTGTGTGTGTGTATATATACACTGTTTTTGCTCTTTCTTATTTCTGTATTTCGTATCCTTCCTGTCTTCCTTTTTCTTTCTTGCAACAAAGATAATCTTCAAATTTCTTTGCACTTTGTGCCATGATAATAAAGGCATTCATTCATTCATAAAAATCTGTCCCTTAATTTTATATATATATATTATATATGTCCCTTTATACTGTTCTTTTATGTTGTGTGTATTGTCTGATCCTGTCTTTAACTGCTAATCCGAAATTTTCCTTCATGGGATTAATTAACTTTATCTTATCTTAATAGAATTCCTTAAAGCACTAGCGTCCTCTCCAGTAATGGTGGGGGGGGGGGGGGGGGGGCTGGGCTGTGATGGGTGGTGGTCCTCCTCTGGGAATTTTATTCAGAGAGCTGAACCTCTCGCCATTAATATGGGTCTTGAGGTAATATTGGTTGATGTCTCCTTTTCCTTTCAGTGCTCGAGGTGCATGCAATGTGACACAAAGTTTGATTTTATCACCAGAAAGGTAAGACATCTGTCACATATTTCCTTGGACAGTTTTCCCTCCGCTTTCTGTGAGCGACGGCTCCATTTCCACACCCACTGTTTCCGTCAACAGCTGTTGGTGATTCAGCCATCCAACCTTTACCATTCACCGTCTCCTTGGTGCTGCTGTTTTGTTAGAAACTAGAGTTCAGCACAGGTGTTTCTCAATAACAAGAACACGAAGATCGTACTTGTGGTCTTGGCAAGACCGGTTTTGCTAGCTTGTCTCCCAAGAAAGAATTTGGGGTGCAATGAGTCATGGCATTGGTCTCAATTGCCGAGGAGGTCAGGCAAGAACAACATCCGGGGATTTCAGTGAACTAGTCTTTGGCAAAGGAGGATGACGTAGAATGGGTACACGAGAACACAAGTACGGTTAAGTACGCATGTGCATCCGCATTTTGTGTACGTGGCCAGAGACTTTACCAGTGACTTCAGCATAATGGTTTGTGTTTTCTGTCCTGTAACTGGCTGATGGTGAATATGTTTGATAATCTATGTGTTGTGTTATTATTATTATTATTATTTAAAATGAGACACACAGGTGTTTTACAGGACCAGTGCTGCCTGGTAATGTTTTTGTGTCTCAGCACCACTGCAGGCGCTGTGGCCGCTGCTTCTGCGACAAGTGCTGCAGCAAGAAGGTGGCGCTGCCGCGCATGTGCTTCGTGGACCCTGTGAGGCAGTGTGCCGAGTGCGGCCTGGTCTCCCAGAAGGAGTCAGAGTTCTACGACAAGCAGCTGAAAGTGCTCATGGGAGGTGAGCCCTGCGGGTGCTGGTGGGGGGAAATGAGGCCACGGAGCCCTCTGTTGGGGTGGGGGTGGGCTTACCGTGCGCTGTCTGTCACCGCCTGCTGTAACCCAGTAGGGGGTGATAAAGTGACTGACTGGAGTTAGTCTATGAGGGACTGGGCCTTTGTGGGCTTTCCAAGGCTCTTTTTCTCTCTTTATCAGGCTGTGGGTTTGAACACATTTCATTCTTCTTTGACAGTTGTCGTCTTGTTACTCATTGCTTGGTCTTAAATTCAGCAGTAGTGTGTTGCCCTGAAGAGGAATGTTTATAACCTCTGACCTCCTCTCCCTTGTCCTGTGTTGGAGAGTCACCCGCAGTGGGCACTATAAATAGGCCCCCACACCCACAAGGCCTGCCACATTACTGCAGGGAAACAGCCATTAGCTGCATGCTGCAGGGTGGAGGCCTTGCTAAAGACCATGAAAGCGCAGCACCGGCCTCCGCTCCATCCTCCCCGCTCTTCGGCTCCTGAGTGCTGCGTGTTCTCTCTGCAGGTGGAACATTCCTGGTTACACTCGGCACGTCTGAGAAGTCTGAATCGATGGCATGTCGCCTCTCCAACAACCACAGGTAACGCAGATCTCCACAGGCGCACATATGGTCTAAAGTCCTACATGTCTAAATGTTTATGATTAAAGATGTTTAATGTATTACCAGCTTGTTGTTGATTACAGTGGCAGTGTTGTGTTCTGTGTCGGCAGACTGGGCAGAGTTCAGTTGGTTGTCGTCCCGCTTGTGCCGTGATGAGCATGGGACAGGGATCTGCTCTTGTTTACAGCCTGACGGCCTTCTGTCTGCACAGGTACCTCTTTCTGGACGGGGAGAGCCACTTCGAGGTGGAGCTGTCCCGGATCTCCAGCATGCAGGTGCTGACGGAGGGCTCCCCGCCTGGAGGTGAGGCGAGGTGGAAGGGGGACTTGTATTAAGGTTTTCTTGCGTGGTTTAGGTTCTTCCCCATTGCCTAGTTACACCCTCAGCAGAAAAAACTTGCTGACGGATATGCAGTTGTACTTCCCACTGTGTCATGGTTTCAACCTCTGTCCTACTCAGCACTGTGTCCAGACCCCACGGAAGGGGACGTCTGTCGCAATAAACAAACGTGCTGGTTGGGGGTGAAAACTCTGCAGTGCTCAGTAACCCCAAGTGACCTTTTTCTCCCTCACTGCTTCTTGACTGGCCATGCTGTGCTCTGGCCTCAGAGAATGACATTCACACTTACACCAGTCTCCTGGAGAACCCATATATATCAGAAGGTATTGCTGTATATTTCGCCCCCCCCCCCCCCTTCTCAGTTGGTTTGTGCCACCCTCTGCTTTTAACGAGGTCGTCTCCTTCGGGCTCTGTGACGTTACGCTTAACATTCCGACTGGTGGTGCATGTCGAGGGATGTCTGGAGCTTGGGTCTTGCATTGACAAGGACATCTTTCACAAATATGTAATCGGACACTATCCAAAGATTTGCTTCTGAATATCTTGCTTTCAGCCTGTCTCTCTGAGCAGGAAGTAAGTGGCTCCACAGAGTCTGGCTAAATGAATTCAGGATTGAGTCCATTAACGTTTCTCACTGGAGCCAAAGGCGATCTCGTTCAAAAGTGCTGCATGTCTGCCCCCTAGTGGTAGCTTCATGAGTTACACTTCATACTGCAGTGGACGTCTGGTGGTAGCTAGTGCGTGTGCTGTGCTCCTGTGCCTGTGCTGTGTACTTGTGTCATTTTGATCATTTGAGAAGCCAGTGTCCTGTGACTGCTGAATAAATTATGGAGGTGTGTCTCAAAACAACTGAAGCTGAAAAAATGAATTTTGTTCCGAATTAGTGTTAAATTCCATATTTCCATACCTGGCTGTATTTTTGTCAATGCTGTTGCGTTATGCCTGTTTCTGATTGGTGTTCTCCCTGTCGCCTACAAACCCGCTGGCTTGTCTTACCTGCTGTTGTGTCTGCTGTTAACTCTCGTCCATGTTTATGTGTCTGTACAGGTGGCAGCTCTAGAGCCACTGGGATGATTCTTCACTACAAAGCTGCAGGTTCACGGGATCTGCAGCAGCTGCGCATGGAAGCCACCGATGACAAGAAAACGGCCTCCGCCTGGCTGGCAGCCATGCACAAGGTAATGTTGCAGACTTTCCGACCTCCTCATCTCCCCCACCCCCGCCCATGCCACTTTATCTCCACCAAAATGACCTCATTGACCCCTAAAATATAATCATCTACTGGAAACACTGGAGTGCTGATGTTCCTGGAGCTTGGCTCGGGTATTTGAGCTGAATTCGAGACCGGAAGGTGGTTTCGATCCCGGGTTCAGAAGGTGTGGTTCTGCAGGACATGCCAGTGGCTTTGGATGAACGATCCATTGAATTGCCCAAGAGGACTGGAACTGTGAGGAAACTCTGACCAGCAGCCCTCTGCTGTCTTTCTGCACTCTTGCCAGGCTGCAAAGCTGTTGTACGAGTCTCGGGACCAGTAACGCTGACCAACAGAGAGAGGGGGAGAGGTGGGAGACCCGCAGGCATCGCGTGCTCCGAAACGGCCTTGTTCTATGTACTCTGCTTTCTGTTCCCAGCTGCACTGGCCTGGATCGTGCCCTCAGACCTGCCGCCCTTCACTGACTCTAGTGCAATATATACCATTTAATAAACGCTTTAAATGTAGTGTCACGTATTGGATTTTGTACGAGAAGCTATTTTGTTAAATATTCCTATTTTAACGTAAGAAAGATGCAGCCTACAGACTTTTTACTGATGAAGTATTTACTATGTTTTTTTTTTTTGTATCACTTGTGTACCTCTGTCTTTCTTCTCTGTACTGAATGATGAATTTACTGCCCACTTAGACAAGGTCAAGGTGGTTTTTCATAAGCAGGTGAGGTTTCACTACTTTAAAATAGAAGAAGCACGTTGATGTAACCCTACATGAGTCAGCTAGTACCGCTCAACTCCGTGTGTTCAAAGAGGCGTGAACACTACTTAGCACGCCCCCTGTGGCTCATGGCCACTGCAAGCAGTGCAGGGGACCCTTAATTTGTACAGTACCTGATCTTGCTGGGACTAGAAAAAAAGCCATCTTTCTATTCAGTGTTTCTTACATATGTTTTTTTTCTGATAATACGTTACAAACTTCTACAAGGGGTCCTACAAGTGTCCACAGAGTGAGTGTTATAAACATAATTTCTGTTATGAAGGCATGTTTAAAGGTGTTTCTTGGACCTGGATGAGTTGTTTTGTTGTGTGTGCTTGTGCTTGACTGAGGCCTGTAAATATCTTTGCTCTACTTGATTGATTTTTATTTTAGGATTTTTTTTTTTTTTTGTAATACAGCTGTATATTCTTATTCTTCAAAGAAAATAAAATGAATTTGTGTGCATTTCACTAGTACCTTGAAACGAAGTTAATCTAGTAAGTCACCTTCTTCTTTGACCAAGTTTTGATGTGCACTTTTTAAAATCCATAAACATGGACGCTGGAGGGCAATGACGGTCCGAAGTGTGAATTCAGTTCAGCAACATAACAGTTTGATATGGGGGCGATTGCACCCTTTCCCACAAGCATTTTGTTGTATTATATTTTAACTATTACCGCAGCTATCTTGCAGTAAATTTATTTACTTTTTCGAATGTTCGTGCATATGTTACTTTTTGTTATACTCATCTGAAATAAATACGATTGCTTGTACCTATTCATTTTGCCATTATTTGCGCTTTCCTTTTATGCTTATTTATGTACCGACTTGCATCTTTGAATTTTAGCTTTTGAAAGGCAGCTGGATCATATGAAAAGATTAAACGGCCTCGATCACTGAGTCAAAGGATCCAGAGTATGAACATCTTGCTGAAGAGACCGCCTATTCAAATGATAAACTCCATATATTGGACACTTCAGACCAGAACACTACTGTTTTACATAATACTTGTCATCTATTTAAATGTATGCATATAAACATCTTGTCGGATGAATGAAAACTCAGCAAGTAAGCAACCCAATTAGAAGTTAAGTTAAATTCAACTTCGTAACGACCAGCCAGCGTTATGTCTTCACGATTCCATTTAAATGGAGGCAGTGCGGGTGGTTAAAGACCAGGCTGACGGTTCAAGACAGAGGAACAGTCCTTCTGGATGGACCCTTGAGTAGCACGTAAATTTCATTGCCCGTAAAATACTCCCATTGAATGCATAAAATTGCAAATTACCAAATAGAAATTGCACAGTCCTATGACGTATGCACTTCGGTCTGGAGAGCATGGAGGCGTAGGCAAGTTAAAAAGAGGGGTGTTACAGAAAATTATTAGTTGGATCACGTTGATCATTTTGAATGTAAAGTATTATATGCGTTTTATTTAAATGTTTAAATATTACAAGATAGGTTACTCACTATATTTTATTTTTATTGGTATATGTGCAAATTCTCTATATTCCAACCTTTTTACGCCCCCCTCCAAATGGTGTGAGTTGGAAAATACCACTCGCATATGCTTTATCGGACACATGTTCAAGCTAAGCATTAGTCGATATATTATGTTATTTACGGAATTATGATCATTTGAATATCACCAGGCATCGGGGGGTGCAGCTTAAATCAGATATAGCCCTTTTTTGAGGGATAGTAATTGTAGACACGCAAAAAAGGGGAAAGCCGTGGAAAGGCCGTCAGGCGGCCGGCGTGAGCCTGGGAGTTTCCTGCGGGAGTCGTGCGAAGCGGCACGCGACGGCACGCGGGAAACGACTCGCGGCCCGCGGCCGGGGGATTGGTCAGGATCGGATCGGTGTGTTTTCGTTTCTCATCCCATTTACTTCGCGAATTACTTCGTTGGTTTATCAGATTTCTTATCACAACGAACGGCAACATAGCCTAGCTGTGTACCCTACGTAATTGTATTTTTAAATCGAGTCTTAATCTACGACCATAAAGCCTCAGTTGGTGTTGTGCACTAAAGCTGACCACTGGGGATAATGGGTCTGGCAATTGTTGCATTGTGTTCAATTTTAATAACCACAACAGTTTAGAGAGTATATTGAAATTCCAAAGCTATGAAGTTTAGCTCAGTTACCAAGGTGGATTATTACAGACATGTAAGGTGTAACTGTTTCAGTTTGAAGTGCATTTCCGTACATGTCCTGCGTTTGTATGGTTTTTTTAACTGTACAGAAATGTTATAACGTAATAATCGTGTTCTTTCATATGTGGTCCTGTAGATATTAACCACGTGACCAGGAATTATGTTGTTATCGCTAACTTGCCGGTGTTATGCAAAAAAGGCATCCCTGTCGTAGAATGCATGCCTGTCTCTAAATGACCGATTGGTCGCTAATCTGAAACGAGTTGAGCTACCTTGTCGAGTAAGGCTACCGTAGTGCTAATCAATAGCCACCAAACACCCGTAAAACTCTAACCCTAACCCCCAAAAACATCCCTAAAACCCTAACCCCTAAAAAACCCCTGACCCCCAAAAAACCCTTAAAAGTTCAACTCGTCGGAACACCGGCATGCATTCTAAGGCAGGGATGCCTTTTTCGGCATAACACCGTTAGGACTCGTCGGTGATTGGAAATTGATTGTTTTCAAACCCATTTCTCTCCTTGTTTGCACAGTATTTCTTTGGTGCTGAAGTGCTGTAGACAAACCTCACCATGAGCTCTCGCGTGTGTAAGACCTGTGGGTGCACGGACATTGACATCGATCAAGCCCGGGGCAATGCTGTCTGCATGGGATGCGGCTCTGTCCTGGAGGACAACATCATCGTTTCGGAGGTTACCTTTGTGGAGAACAGTGGTGGGGGCTCGTCGGCGGTTGGACAGTTTGTTGCATCAGATGGTAAGTGCAGTGTAACTAGGCCTTTTTACTATTTGTGAGTCATGGCTTTCATTTAAAACAGTGTTTCTCAAGCCAGTCCTTGGGGCCCTTCAAGATGGTCCATGTTTTTGCTCCTTCCCAGCTCCATACCTGGGTCTGAGGCACATTTGTATGAACTGTTTTTCTGTAGCCTCATTCATTTATAGCTGTCATGCCATGCAGTTCTCAGGCTGACCTGCACTGAGCATCTTTGTGAATCTGCATCCCTATGCAGGTCTTGCTGAAAATGTCGTTCATGTTTGTCTGGGGTGCCGCGTTGTGGTCCCAGTTCGCTGCACTGGCAGATATGGGCACATTGGTGCACCTCCCCTGCTATCTTGACTTGAGTAAGGCTGGAATAGAGGCTGTGGTGGTGTTCAGTGATATGTTGCTACCTTATGCAGGAGCTGGATAACTGACCGCTTGCCCTTTCCCCTGTCCATTATATAGAATGCCTCTCAAAGTAACTTGTGTTGAACTGTGCAGTGGTGTTTACATGTCTGATACAGAGTTTGTCCAGGTTTAGTCCTTGGGGAGTTATCCCTGAAAGGAGGTGGAGCCCTCCCATTTTGCCAGAACCAGAGAGGAATTATGAATGCCGTGAGGATACTAAGTGCTTCAGTAGGACTGGGAGTCCTGTATGTATTACAGTATTAACATTTTATTGTTATGTGATGGGAGGCCTGGATCATGCTGATATTTGTGTGAAAGTAGGGCTGGACAATAATAGAAATTTAATTTTAATTATGATTTTGGCTTCCTGTGGTTATCAAAACAAAATATTTGAGATAAAATGATTATTGTGCCGCATTTTGTTTCACAATGATACGTTTTGTCCTGTGTTTTAAGTCCAGTCCATTCATATTTTGTGTCTAAATTTAAATATATTTTGAGTTCAAGGAAATCCACTGTTAAAAAGACAAGTTTAAAAAAATCAGTAAATGCATGCTATTTCCAAAATCATTGAATAATTGTTAAATGTGATCTCAGTATTGACCGAAATAATCATAATCATGATTTTTGCCATAATCGAGCAGCCCTACCTGAAAGTGAAGACTAGTTCCACTTTTTGATAGGTTAAGAAATGGACCATCATTCAAGCATAGTTTCATCATCATGTCTGAATGGCAGCTCCTTGACATGTGGTTTTTCAAAGAGCAGCCATTTGTGACTGCAGTCTCTGTTCACCAATACAGGGCAGAACTGCTGCCCTCGGTCTCATTAATCCTTTCACTTAAGCGTAGATTATGCTTCACTTATCCATGCGCTGTTACTGTTCACAGTGAGTTAAAGGGGCAGTTAACCCCAAAACTGAAAAACAGATGCATTTTAGGTGGGTTTTAGTGCTATCTATCCTTCTAGGTTGTTCTGCTGGGAGTTGCCTAGTTTTGCAGAAGTCTGCCATAGAAATGTCGGGCTTCTCTGGAATATAATGGGAGTGAGTAGCATTCTTTCTGTGGTGATTAAAGCGCCAGAAAAATACATTTGGAAAATTCAACAGCAATGTCTCTTACCAGAAATCATGATCAGGTTTCTGAAGATAATCCAGACTTTGTAGCGAGCAGTTTAATGTAGAAATAACCAATAACAAAAATACTAACTTAATACTATTTTCTTCTACCGAACTCCACACACCAATCATATCTCTGTATAAAAGATATCGGGGTGGTCGTGCTTGTATCTTATTTCGGTTGACAAAAATAGTGATGTTACTATTTTTGTTATTGGTTATAGCTGTAATAAATTAGTATTTGTGTTATTGGTTATTGCTTTAATAAATTAGTATTTTTGTTATTTGTTAAAATTGTACTATAAAAGTGGATATATAATGTTCAGAGTCGTTTTTTTGGTCTGTCTCTTTCTCTGCCTGCAGGAATTCTGCTTTTTGCACACTGTCTGATTTCTTTCCAAAATTTTGTGCACTAGAATACGTCCTTGTGCTCCTTCAATGATGTTTATGCTGGTACCGCCGCACCTCACAAAGCTGCTCATCAAAAGCATCCATAATTACAACTACTCTTTTCCTGCTCTTTCCTCATTGACCTATGATTTGTGAAAGTCTGTGCTGCCACCTGCTGAAAACACTGAGCCGTGCACTCTCAAATACTTGTCCATGATGGCCCGTGGATAAGTGAAGCAAGAATTAGGCTTTAGAGGGAGTGAAATAGAGACCTAAACAGCAGGGTCAGAATTATCTTTGGCTCTCTATTCTATGTTCCACTGCACAAACTAGTTGAGGCAATATGTACCGAGGTTGGATAATGAAACTGAAACCCCTGGTTTTAGACCACAGTCATTTATTAGTATGGTGTAGAGCCTCATTTTGCACCAAATACAGCATCAGTTCGTCTTGGGAATGACAGACAGAAGTCCTGCACAGTGGCCAGAGGGATTTTGAGCTATTCCTCTTGCAGAACAGTGGCCAGGTCACTGCATGATCCTGGTGGTGGAGGAAAATATTTCCTAACTTGCTCCTCCAAACCACCCCAAAGTGGCTCAGTAATATTCATATCAACTTCGCTTTTTCATGTTTATCAAACTGCTCTCACCAGTCTTGCTGTGTGTATTGGTACAATATCATCATGATACATGGTACCACCTTCTGGGTACAATGTTTCAACCATTGGCAGAACATGGTCCTCCAGAATTACTTGATAGTCTTTGGTAGTGATGCGCCCTTATAGAACGAATAGTGAATGTAGGGAATGCTATGATATTGCAGCCCAAACCATTACTGTTTCACCTCCATGCTGCACCCTGGGTATGCAACAGTCTGATTGGTAAGCCTCTTTGGGGCTTCTCCACACCATAACTCTTCCAGATGTGGGACAGACAGTGAAGGTGCACTCACCAGAGAACAATACCTGTTTCACATTGTCTACAGCCCAAGATTTGCGCTGCTGGCACCATTGAAACTGATGTTTGGCATTGCCATGAGTGACCAATGGTTTGGCTATAGCAGCCCGACCATTTTTATTGGCCCTGTGGAGCTACCAATGAACAGTTTTGGTGGAAACAGGAGAATTGAGGTGTGCATTTGATTCTGCAGTGAGTTGGGCAGCTGTGGTTTTATGCTTTTAAGTATAATCCAGGTTAGTACCTGGGACATCCCTTTCAGACACATTCCTCTTGTGTCCACATTTACTCCTGTTGGATGTGGTCCATCCTTTGTGGTGGTTTGCGGACATTACCCTGAGCACCGTGGCTCTCTAAACACCACAAAGATTTGCTGTCCTGGTCACAGACGTGCCAGCCAGACATGCACCAACAATTTGTCCTCTTTTGAACTCTGATATATCTCCCATTATGTTGTGTGGATTGCAATATTTTATATACTGCTGTGCTATTGCCCTGTTAATTAAAATTTTTACACTTTGCGCATTCCATCAGTAAGAGTGAACAATGAAGATTGCCCCCCCCCCCCTGGCCTTGCAAATATAGGCCTGAAACCTCAAATACTATTGGTCAGGTGTGTTTTTGTTTCATTGTCCAATCCCTGCATGTCTGCTATGTACCTGTGTTGAGCTGTTTGCTAAACAGGAGGTAAAACAGCTATTGAGCTTTAATCACACACTTGTTCTATAAACAGATGCTTCTCCTTGTTACATAATGTTATGAGGTATTCTGCTGTTTTGTTTTGGAGGGGTACTTGCAGAGACTGCCACTAGATGGCAGAACAACTCCACATTCCTCTGCTGATTGTGCTGTTTGTTATCCAGCAGGTTATGCTATTGCTCTGTTATTGAAGTTACAAAAGGAGCATGAGCCTGAGCGATAAATTCAGGGTGACATTTTTGAAAACTCCATGGTTTTAATTTCACCTTCTGACAGGGAATAGTTACTTATGTTGTTAAGCGTGAAAACCCAAGAAGTATTTAATGTATCTTTCAGTCATTGCAGATGCATTTAGGGCAATACTAACCCCTTGACTGGTGTGTGGCTTGGTGAGTTAGGCCTCCATGCCTGTGATTGGAAGGTTGCTGGTTCAAGCCCCGGTCTCGACCAGAATAGGATCTTTGTTGGTTCCTTGAACAAGGCTCTCCGACCCTATGCTTTGTTCTGTACTGCTTATGAGAGCAAGATGAAATATGTGAAAAGAAACATTCCAATGTGCCTGTACTTGTGCAAACAGCAAATTTAAGCTTTTTGTATGGGTGAAGAGCTGGAGTTCTTCAAATTTTGAGTCAAATCACAGTAAAACTGAAGCGGTGTCACTTAGTGGTGGCACATGAAAGGACAGCCACAGACGGATCTAATGAACCTGATTACACTGAGACCAGTCAGATAAAGTTGGGCTTTTAATTGAGAGTTTTTGAAGAGGTGGGGAGATTGTGTAGGGGGCTCAAGACTATCTGTCTGTCTGGGGAATACATTGTCGTTCCAACAGCATCTAGATGTACCATATTCAGACAAGTGTTTTTTTTTCCATTATATTTTGCTTTCTCTTACTGTCAATGCTGTTGGCTTTCTAGGCACAGGCAAAACTCCAGTTCTGGGAAGTGGGTTTCACACCACCCTGGGGAAGGAGTCCCGTGCTCAGACCCTGCTGAATGGTGAGTAATTCTGCCTCAAGTGGCTGCATAATTTCCTGCTTATGAACTGTTGCTGACTAATGCCTGGTCAGTTGTGTCCCTTTGGTCTGAATCCTGCCCTTAGTTGCTGTGCATTCGAAGTGTGTGAGTGGGCTTGTCTAGAGAGCCAGCCATTCCCATCTGCTTAGGATTTGGCCTGCTGTGCCGATGACTCCCATCCTCACCTGTGACTTTCTTCAGCAGCTTGTCTATTGGTGCGCTGACTCATACTTTCAGTAATGTGAGTCTGGCTTGTACCGTCCCTCCTCTTCCAGTTAATATGCCTGTATGGACTTTGAAAATGATGAAATGTGTCCTGCATGTTCCATTAAAAGTTTGTTGGCTGGTCCACCTTTTGTAGCTGTGTTCCTCTAGGGGCCTAAGACACCTGCATGTAATAACAGTGGTTGGTAGGCAGGGGGTGGTGTTTATGACCTGCTTGCATGTCTGGGTTCGTTGGCACAGCTATGGCAGTCACTCTCACGGTCAGGTGGGGCCAGTAATCGGAACATGGAGCCCCTCCTGGAAGAGATGAGTAATTAAAATTACTGTAACTGTGGAGGTTGCTCAGTGAAAGCTGGTTATTTCTGAGAGAATCATTTGTGAAGCTGCTGTCTGGCTAGTAACTGGTGCAGACTACTGTATTGGGGCTGCATTGAGGTCTTTCTGAACGTGAGTCTCACTCGTTTGTCTCCTGTGCCAAGCTGGTAGGCCGCAGCCTGGGGTAAACAAGTACCTCGTAACCTCAGGAGACTGCTGGGGCAGCTTCCTAGCAACCCCAGAGTCAGCCCTGTTCCAGAGCGCTTCTCTTAGACTGGATGAAGCCCGAGAGGGGAATAACTCTTCATTAGTGTGTGGTTTTTGGCACTTTAACCGTGAGGTTTTGGCCCTCTGCTGTCTTCGCATATTAAGCCTTTTGGCAGAGGGTAGGATTGGTAGCCGGGGATATCTCAAGCCTTGTTTTAGCTCCAGGTCAATCTTTTTAGTAAGTGTGAGGGCAGAGAAAGTTCACTGTTGCCTGAAGGCCCGTCAGAAATAGAGCTGCTGTGATTGCAGGAAATGCAGCGGCTGTTATTCAGAAACTGTGCCCTGTTCTGGGATGGAGGTGGGATGTATTGTTATTCTATCCATCCATTGGTCCATTTTCGCTTCTGTTGCTTCTCCTCGTCAGGGTCGCAGGAGGCCTGGAGCCTTGCATTGTTATTGTAAGGCCAAATGTTATTTGACTAGATGCTCTTCCTGGCTTACTGTAGTGCTGGAGGTCATGTGATGGGCAGAGCTGACCTCATGAGGGGTGTATTTTTTTAAGGTTATCAGCCAGTCTCTTGCTTTTAATTTATGTGACATAATGTGAGGTGATTAATCAGTGAATGGAAAACACATATTTGACCTCAATTGAGCTGTTGCTAGTTTCATGTGCTGGTGCTTGATGATTGAACCGTGTGTGATAGAACATCAATGATACCTTGGAGATGTAAGTCTTGAAATGCCTTTGATACATAACCTTGTGTGTGTTCGTGTGTGTGTGTCTCTCTCCAGGTAAGCGGCAGATCAACCACCTGGGCCATCAGCTCCAGCTGAACCAGCACTGCCTGGACACGGCCTTCAACTTCTTCAAGATGGCCGTGTGCAAGCACTTGACGCGTGGTCGCAAGATGGCCCACGTGGTGGCCGCTTGTCTCTACCTGGTGTGCAGGACGGAGGGCACACCCCGTATCCTTGTCCCCCTCCCATGGGCAGTTATTGTTGGCTGGCTGAGGTTTTCCCTCGATCCGTAGCAGTGTGTACAAACCCTCTGGTGATGCATGTGGAGTAGCACATGGTGTTGTGAGTGAGTCAGACCGTGCTAAGCTGGGTGGGTCCCGCAGACTGAGCAAGCTTGATTATATCCTGGGTGCTTCCTGTGAGCCCCCTGCTCTGGCATGTGCCAAAACTGCTCCCTCTTTAATAACAGCCTTGTTGATCTGAAAAAGCCTGGTTATGGAAGCTGCATGCGGCCCCAGAGCAGCTGCTATCTGCCACGTGCCCCGGTTGCCTCACTTTACCTGTTTCAGTGAAGCCACTGGGGGAATAACTGTCCGTGAGCAGAGGGCTGCTTGCGCCTGGAATGTTCCACTTCCATCACAGAATCCCTTTTCCATGGAATGCCTTTTCCACTGTCGTTTACAGCCTGTTCGTGATCTCATGGTTTTCAGTGCTGTCTGTTTCTCTGAGCAGTGGAAACGCACACTTTGGATCCATAGCTCTTTCCTGACTGTCATGTCTATGTCTGGGACTAAAACTGTTAAAATGACACAACAGATGCAGAGGTGGGTAGTTCAGGTCCAGAGAGTAGAAGTGCAGACCAAGTTTTTCTTTCAACCAACCATTTGAATATAAAGAGTCACAGTCAAAAAAAAAACTCAACTGGTTGGTTGAAAGGAAATCTTGGTGTGGACTTTGACTCTCTGGACCTAAACTACCCACCTCTGAACAGACATGCTCTGGGGTTCTTGGGTCGAGAAGCTGGTCTGGGTCGTTTGGGAGGAGAGGGCTAATGGCCTCTGGGGGCAGAGAGGGTCTGGGCAAGCCTCCGATATCAGTCTGGTCTTTCCTGTGTCTGTAGTGCAGATTTAACTCTCTTCCTGTTCTTCCTTTTATGCCAGTGGTGGACAGCAGCTGATAAAACACTGTGTTTGTGTGGCTGGGTTGGGGGGGGGGGGGATTGTATTGGTTATGAGAGGAAGTGTGTGAGGGCGCGACCCCTTCCCCAGAGGTTAGGCTTGCACTATTATCAGGCTTGGGGGGATACTTGCTTGTGAGCCCCACCCGAGCCCCCCCCCAGCCCATCGATAGGCGGCATGACAACTGGGCAGCTTTTTGGAGCCGCTGATGTCAGCTTAGCACGTGTGAAGAAGCTGGAATTACCCATGTTTGGCTGGACCAGCTGCCCGTGGCCGGTTCTGGGAATGTTGGGGTCGGCCTGGCTGGCCGCTCGGCCCGTTTTGCTGAGGGCGATCAGTGCTGCTGTTTCTTTCTCCTCCTGGACTTGGTTTATCTCTATGCGGCCCCCATGTCAGATACGGTTACTGTGCGGGAGTTTCACAGGAAAAGCACTAGAGGGAGGGGGGCCTTTCCCACAGTTCTGTTTACTAGGCCGCCTTCCCTTGGGGTGGGGGTGGAGGGGGCAGGGATAATTTTAGCCCCGCTGGTCTTCTTGTCTAGCTTTTTGCACAGCTGTGGGAGCTGCAGCAGCACAGGGTCACCGCTCTGAGCTTTATAGACCATAGTGCAAAGTGTGTGGTGGGCAAAGCTCCCTGATTGGTTTGTGAAACAACCCCCCCCCCCACCCAGATGTAGTGCTCACTTTCAAATGGCTCTCTGACATGCAGTCTTGTTTTATTGTATCTTAAAGCATCAGAATCCGAAATTGTTTTTTTTCCCCTTGTATCTACAGCTGACTAATTGGCTATTTACTGCATTGACATCCCAGGATGTTTTCATGTTGGTTCCCCATCGTGCCGATCGGTGAGACTTCAGCCATGTGACTTCTGCTTGTTTTAGATCAGTCATTTGCAACCACAGATTTTAAGGGGAAAATTATAAATACTGGTGCCTTTGTCAGTCATGTTTGACAGGGTGTGAGACGGTGCAGTTCATTTGTGAGGATAAAATATCAGGATCGGAGGGGTCACCCCCGCAGCTGCACAGCAATCCCACAATCCCTCTGGGCTCCTCAGCCAGCTTTGCCAAGTTCTCCAGCTTTTTAATCTGTGTGGTTCAGTTAGACAGGTTGGTTCCTGCAGACAGACCTAGGTTTTCCTTAATGCCACCACCTTGACAGACATGCTGTTGGACCTGAGTGACCTCCTCCAAGTAAGTGCTCTTCCCCCCCCCCCCCCATCACTGTCCTACCATGACCATTTAACTCTGTGTTTTCAATTGGAAGAATCTCATCCATAGTCATTCGTTGTGGGTGCATCTATTTTAAACCCTCCCCATCCCTACAGTGAGGGTCAGGTTTTAGAGGGCGCTTTGTTTCAAAGTGCTTTTTTTTTTTTTTTTAGCTGGGGTCTTTGTTCTCTGAGGGGGGGGGGGTTCTCTCTGGTTTTCCACCTTGTAGCCCCTGCTACAGGACAGCGAGGAGAAAAGCACGTTCACTTTTCTGTACACCTGTAACACTGTGGGATTCAGAGCCCCCCACCTGTGAAGGCCAAAAAAATACATTTAGGTCCTTTTTAAAGCACGATGGAAGCCAGGGGGCCACAGTCCTCTGTAAAATTAGGCCTGCATTTGCCTGCTTTAATCAGAATAATTTAGCCGGGTGGGGGCATTACAGCAATCCAGCTGGTGTGCTGCTTATTTTTACTCCCCCAGCTGTCCTTGGAGAACACACACACACACACACACACACACTTCGGCATCCATGACTGGGGGAAGTGGGTGGCTGTAAATATTCCATGCATCCCCCACAAGTGGAGCCCAACCCCGGCAGGCTGTGGTGTGATCTTGTGGGGGCATCATGGTTCTGGGGTCACAAACTGCAATGATCCCTGGAGCCTCTTAACTACCTAGACAGACTGGCAGTACTCCGTAACACTAGTATATACCCCCCCCCCGTTACCCCTGGCTAAATGTGACGACCTCAGGTCACAGAAGGAATCCAGGCAAGAGGCACTTTCTCTTCTGCTTGCATGTTGTGTATTTTTTTTTTTTAATAAATACAGAGACGGGCCTATTAGTGGCGACGGTGACGCCTCGTTCGTCACCATGGTGCTGCTTCGCCAGGATCTGTAGGCTATTAGCCGACCCACCTCCCCTCTGCCTCTCCCTGCAGGTCAATGTTTACATCCTGGGAAGGACTTTCCTCCTCCTGGCCAGAGAGCTCTGCATCAACGCCCCAGCCATCGGTACTGTCCCCTGCCTCTTTTTGCTTTTTATCACACAGAGCCAGGAGTGACACTAGAAATTTGGCACCCATGAAAGCATATCGTATTGGGCCCTCAACCCAGACCAATCCAAATGCGTTTCATTTTCCCCAACAAGGTCTTATGGAATCATTCCATCTAACACCCCTTTACAGTGTCATAGGTACAATCACACTACAGTGTTTGTTTTACCTTTGAATAATAATAATAATAATAATAACAATTGATTCAACCAGTGGCGAGAGAATGCCTCACGATGTTAATGTGCCAGGAAGTAAACCATTTATGATCAGATGACAAACCGAATTGTCGAAAGGTGTTCAGTTGTAGTACTCCTCTTATGCATACAGGGGGCACTGTGTAGCCAAGGTTACTATGGTGTATCAAAAATCAGACAGCAGCTGAATTTGTCAGAGTGAAAGCTCAGTTGAACAATGTGATTTGAACTGGTTAGCTGGTGTTTGCTCTCTGCCAACACATGGGCCTGACTATTTCTGTTTTCAGTGGGCACTATTTTTTGTTTTCTTTTGATCAAGAATTAATGGAGCCTCCCTGCCTTCAACCAGGCAATCAGCAATCTGTAATTGGTCTGCGCTTCCTTCATTACTGAAGATGGCTCTCCATTATCAGTGCTCAAAACAGTGATTATGGGTCTTGATTATAGCTGACCTCAAAATATCATGATTGAAGAGAGTGGAGATCTCCATCATTTAGCTTTTTGTCCCTGTGGTACATTGGGGAGGGGGTGGGTGGGTAAAAAGCTACACCTGGAAATAGTCACCAACCGTTTTTATGGTTTTGCAAGTTCATGAGCTCTAATACAGAACATTTTGTCAATCAGCTTTAAGCTGTAAACAATTAGCTCTTAATTAATGTACAAAACAGTGCACTACCCCGGGCCTGTCCACTAGAAGTGCAGTGAAACTTCATACGCTGGACTGCATGCTGCAGCAATAATCATTAATCAAATATCAGCTTCTCTTTTAAATAAATAGTTGAAGAGCATTCCTTCATCTTAGAAATGGACCAGTCTGTTACCAAGTGAACAGGTGTTCAGTGTCCCATAGTTTGTGCTCTGCTACATTACTCCGAAGGCAAAGGCTTGTGTCGGTTTCTCACTGATGGAGGGCAAGCGCAGAGCATGACTCATGCATAGAACACCAGCTCGGGGATTTGCCCTCCCTGTACCCCAGTGCCATTGGTGCTGTCTGAAGAGCACTGGAACTGGAAGGTCACCTTTCCGCACTGCACCTCCGTCATGCCCTCCTGCCCAAAGTAGCTGAGCTCATTACCATCCAAGATGGCACTGACTGTGTAGAAGGCATCCTGTTCCACCTGCACCGGGTGCTCGAACCACACCGGGAACGTGTTACTCGACCCATCCGAGACAAACTTAGTCAAGTTCTGGGCCAGAGTCACTCCCTGGCGCTTAAGTTCGATCTTGACACTGTACTCGGCCTTGCCGCCACTGGAGCCATACAGGCCCAGCCCCGCTATGAAGATGCGCTTATCCACAGCGAACTGGATGCTGTCGCAGCGCCCTCTGTAACGCCACTGGTTACTGCGGTACGCTGAGGACTGGAAACGGTGACACCGTTGGGGCGAGAGCCCCTTTCGCTGGGTCAGAGGAAAGTCCAACTTGGGCTTGTTGACCGCCGTGTACCACAGGAAGATGTCATGCGTCTCCTCCAGTGTCAGAATGTCCGATTGAGCTGCGCCATCAGCAAACTCCTCCAGCGTCATGGTGGGGACCCGCACCAGGTAGAGTGCCCGGCCCAAGACGTTCCGCTTGTTGCGTGTGGTGGGGGGGAGCCCCTGCCGCTTGCACTCAGCCACAGCCCAGTTCAGAACGGCCTCGAAGACCACAGCCTCCGTAGTGTTGAGGGTCTCCCGCGTGAGGATGATCTCCAGGGTGGGCCGGTCAATCTCGCAGAAGCCCTCGGAGCGCAGGGCTAGCTCAGCTTGGGCGTCAATTACCTCCCAGCAGCGCTGCGTCAGCTCAGGCTCCTCGAAGAGCCGGCTCTGCGACAGCAGCACACACGCGTTCTTGGCCTCCAGGCTGGTCTCCAGGAAGTTCACGCAAGCCTTGGCCAGGGCCGGCACTATGTACTTTTTGGCAGCGTACAGGGTGGCCAGCACTGTGTCAGCCTCCAGGTCGATCTCATCGCTGTACATGTACCTGAGAGAGCAAGAAGGCATCAGAACGAAGACCAGGCGTACTGTCCCAACAGCAGGAGATGCTGGCTGTCTTATTTATGGGGCACAAGCCTTAAATACTTAAGACCGACCATATTAACTGACCGGGCACTTACTTCAACAGAATTAGAAATGCAGCGGGCTCTACATCTGGGATGTGAATTTCGGACTCTCCCTCGGCCAGGTCTCCATAGAACATCGCGCAGAACACGGAGCTGCCCACTGCCAGCACGTACTGGATGGAGAAAGCGGCAAAACTCAGCTCGGATCGCCGGCGCAACACTGGCCGATCAAGCCGCGAAACGTGCGCTCACCTTGTGTGCGGGGACTTTCTGCGCCTCGCCCGGAGGACCAACAATGAAGTGGACGTCTGCCATGAGCTCGTTGTTAAACATTAATGCATTCCTACGAAAAGAGGAAGGATAATAATAATCAGCAAAGTCATTAAGTATTCCGTAAAGCAAAGAGAGGCGTATTCGGCACTAACTTAATTTAGCGGTAATGGGCGCCCCGAGACTCGGAAACATTATCGCATCGCATGAATGGCATCGCATGCATAAGTACCGCGGCACAAACTGCACACGGCATATAAAGTTTAAAGGCTACCTCTCCCGCAGCGTGGGATGAGAGCACTGCCAGCTGCAGGTCTCGACGTTGTTGTTGTTGATGTTTTGCTGGGCGGCGGTGGTGGTGGCCTCACTCGCGGTCTGCGTGACCTGCACCACGCTCTTCTTTGCGGTGGCAGTAACCGCGGTGCCGTTATTCGGGAGGCTGGTGTGTGTGCTTGCAGGGTACAACTCTGCAGCCATCTTCTTCTTCAGAGACAGTGTCACGATCTCATAGCATACTGGGAGCCTACCCGAGTGCTTCCCACTTTTTTTGGACTTTTTCAGGGTTTCTGGAAGTAGAAGGAGAAAAGTCAGACACTTCATGATCCGGCCATGAAGGCAGTCTTGAGCTTCTGGCATCGGCAGACCAAGTGAGCAATCAAAGCGACGGCCGTGCTGTAAACCGATACGGACGGTGTTCGATGATAAAATCCTGGAGCGCAGCACTTATTGCGACTCGATGATTAAATAACCCGTTAGAATTATTTAAGTACAGTAAAGGGAAATAAATAGAACAAATCCTGCAGAATCGTCTTTACCAGCCGGCACTTAAAAGGCACCGTCAGTATATCCGTCCGGTAGAGTTAATCCAACTTCAATACTTTTTTTCCTTTTTCTCATCTCATCTTTTTATCCTAATCGGTAGGTATCCTGTTCGATGTGGTCCTTTTATATTCCTCTTTTGGATTCGGTGAAATCAGAAATGTGAATCGTAGCTTTTATTAGTCCGTTTTTCCCCAGAGGAGGGACAGCCTGCCCGAGATGCAGATGTTTTGCCAAAAGCTATACAGATCCAAGCGGGTGTCCTCAGTGTGTATTATGCACGTACAATGTGAATAACAACACCAGCGCTCGGTGCTTTTCTTCTCCGCCAGTGGCTGTAGTTCATATTCCTCGTGACGCCCCGTTCTGTCTCGACGAATCAGTTATCCGCATGGTCGTGACGCAACACCGAGGCCCCTCCCTTGAGCGGTCCGCCGTTTATCCGCCATGTACCTTACACGTCACTATTTTTTTTAATGCAGTTACTAATAAAATCAAGCGTCTGGGCATCGATAACAAAATAATGTTTCCCTTTTTTTTTGAAGTGCTACGTCAGTGTGATACCTTTTTAATTTCGTGCCTACGCAACATACAACGCTTTGATGCAAAACCTAATTTACAAAGTTTGTTAAAACGGTCTCCGAAAATAACATAAATGCTGTTCTTAACTTTGAGTTAAAGGAGTCTGTTAGTATTTGCTATCCTGACTGGTATTCTGTAAGTGTTTTTTGAAAGGCATATTTAAAACCTGGAACTGTGAAACGATCTGTGATGTAGTTTAAATTGGATCCGGAGTGTAAACATTGTGCGTCGAAAGTGTATCATTTTTATCCTTCGCGTTTCATTAGCATTTCGATACATGCTGGTTGGTTATTGATTCTTTCGGTCCACCTCGTGCATTCCTTCTGTTTAACAGCCACTTAAATACACGAAGAAAATACAGAAAGGACCCAATCTCCCGGCTGAAACGTATTCCCAGGTCCCGTGTGCCGTGACGTTTATTTCTGCCTGGGCTGAAGCTCAAACGCGTAATGCGTAACTGGTTACCTTTTTAATTTAGGGCCGTCCTATTCTCCTTTTAAAAAATGCCTTCAGGTTTGATTTCTGGAAACCCCATCGGAGCCAGAAGCCATGTTAAATCCGGAGATGGGGATGATGGAGGGGGTTGGGCGTGCTGGATCGTGTTACCAGACCGGTCTCCCTGCTTTCCAACAGAGGGCTCCTGCGTCGCGAAGCTCTAGCGATTCAATCCGCGCGACAGTCCTGTGGCCCGAAACCCAAGTATTACCGGTCCTGGGTATGCGCTTAATTAGAGACGAAGACCTTTATTAAACCTTAAGGCGACAAAAGGGCACTCGGTCCTTTAGAGTACACTCACTGAGCATTCACCAGTGTCTGTTAAAGGCGTCTTCTGAAGAACAAGTTCATAACCGGTTATTTTATTGAAGCAAGGGTGTAGATTTGAATGTGGACGGCAGGGACTTGTCCATGCCAAAATTGTAGGAGTATCATATGTGTTTAGGGGGACGGGGGGGTTAGGGTCTGATCTGATCCCTACAATGTTGAAACCTAACCTTGTATTGAAATATAGTTTTGTACTGTACATGCACTTATAGCAGTGTAAATAAATTACAGTGCTAATGCATTTTATGAAAAACAATAGAGATGCAAAAGAACAAAACACCCACCCACGAGCTCCACCTTAAAAATGTGACATCCATTTGTGAAAGGAATTGGAAAGGAAATATTCATTTAGTTTCGGTGATGGGGTTGATTCCATGCCCTTATATTTCTGTATGCAAAGAAACCATTAATTTTATGCCACCTATTCATCAAGGGAGGGTTATATGACAGTCAACATCATTAAGGTTTAAAGAAATAAAACTGATGTCAAATGACTTACTATAGTCTGTGATGCACATAGTTGTGATATCTGTACCTTCACTAAATGTAAAAATGGATTCGTCTCAGGTTAGTGGGGGTGTGTTATGGAGACATGTTTTCTGCTAAGACTGGGATATTTGTTTATGTTCAGGCTACCTTGCCAGCTTGGGGAGGGGGTTCATTGTTGTCTCTCTACTGCAGCTGTGGCTCCAGGTTTAAACAGGATGACGTCTCCTGCTGTAGGGACTGTCGCCAGCACGGGTGCACCACACAGTGCCGTCAACGCACCTGAATCAAACCTGCTGAAAACACGACTTGTTACAGCATGAGCTCAGGCTCTACACTGCAACACAAAAGGGTGGCGTGGGAGGATGCTGACAAATCAAAACCTTCAGCACACTGATATTTCAGCGTGGAAATGTCAAGCGCCACTTGAGTTTGTATTTCGGGGGGCCACAGAAAAGGTCTGTCGGCGTTTATCGCTAAACCCAGGATCGGTCCCTGGTTGGCCAAGCAGCCAATGACGTAAGTGATGTAAAGCCGGGATTGCCTCCGATCACTTGCCGTTGGTGCGGATGGTCATCCGGTGGGGGTGGCTGTGTGGGGAGATGCTCCAGCTTTTGTGTTCTGTACCCCCTCTCCCAGATCCTTGCTTGTACATCCCACGCTTCGCCCACATGCTGGAGTTCGGGGAGAAGAACCACGAGGTCTCCATGACGGCGCTGCGGCTGCTGCAGAGGATGAAGCGTGACTGGATGCACACGGGACGCCGGCCGTCAGGGCTTTGCGGTGCAGGTACGTTGCCACGGAGATACCCCCCCCCCCCAAGACCTTCTGCTGTCATTGGCAATTGGAAGCCCTGGCAGGCATCTGCAAATGTGTTGGTCTGGGGCACGGGGCAGCCACAGGACCTTCGCCGGGGCAATGTGGGCGCTGCTCTGGGCTCCCTGCTCATAAGCAGCGCCTCCGCTGCTGCAGCACCTGAATAATTAATCACCCATCATCAATCATTTAAAGGATCCGCTTACGGTGGGGAAGGGGAAGTTTAGCGCCCACCCTGAATATGAAATGGGCAGTTTTTTCTGGAGCTGTCAGGGCACCTGTGTCGGGAGGCCAGGCTTAAGAAGCGATGCTCCGGCTCGGTCTGTGAACTTGTGTGCTGTTGATAATGTGACCATGGAGGAAAGCGGCTCTGCAGAGGAGGGGCAAGAGAAGCCTCGGTTTACTCATTATGTAACGGTGTGGGAGGGGCTTCGTCTGATGTCACGGGCAACGACTGACAAGCGTGGCCTTTATAAAGCAGACGTAGTTAGTTGCGTAAAAGGGAGGAGGGTTCTTGCTAGACTCTGTACCTGTATCTACGGCGACAGCATGGAGCTGCTGGAGGAGCTGGTACTTGTAGCGTGATTGAGTGGGATCTCCAGTGGGGGGCTGCGGCTCTGTTTCCCCTCCTCAGCCCTGCCCAGGGAGCCCCCGTTCACAGCGATAATGCATGGCTCCTGTTTCCCCACAGCGCTCCTGGTGGCCGCCCGGATGCACGAGTTCCGCCGCACCGTTAAGGAGGTCATCTCGGTGGTGAAGGTGTGCGAGGCGACGCTGAGGAAGAGGCGAGTGCCGCCGGTGGCTGGGCCCGCTTCCGGCTCAGAGCCATGTTCCCCGCGATGGAACTCTCTCCGTTTCTGCTGCAGCTGCTGCCCGTTGGCACAGAGAGGGGCCTGTCTAGGGAAATGCGATCGTAACCAAACATGACGTGTTCAGACAGCCAGAATAATGTCTCCGCTGACCACGTGGCTGGTGCTTATGAGCTGTGAAGGCCACCGTATCGCTGACTAAGCCGTACATATATATATATATATATATATATATATATATATATATATATATATATGGCTGACCTCCCGAAAGCCATGGGGTGAAGATAATCCATTCAGGAGCTTTAAAAGTGATGCCTAAAAACATGCTGAATCTGTCGTTCAATTTCTGATAGGCTGACTGAGTTTGAGGACACGCCCACCAGTCAGCTGACCATCGATGAATTTATGAGGGTGGACTTGGAGCAGGAATGTGACCCACCTTCGTTTACTGCCGGCCAGCGGAAGCTCCGCCTACAGCAGGTAAATAAGTGGGTGTAGGGAGTTTCAGCTTCCCTGTGCATCCATCCCTTCTTGTAGGCTGACTATACCTCACTTTGAACACAGTCGTTGTGTTTAATTTTAGCAATGCATCACTCTCATTCTCACCTTAACTGTTTATGACTTTTTCTTTTTGTAAGCTGGAACACGAGCTGGCCAAGAAGATTGATGAAGTTCAAGGTAACTCTGTCTGTGAATATTAATGAGTGTTTGTGAGCGGCAGGTGATGCTTCAAACGGCCCCCGTGTCCCCAGAGCCGGTGTCATTGGACTCTGTGTTTCATCTCCGCAGGGGAAATCTGCAGCTACCAGGATGAGATCGAGCTGGAACTGGAAAGCAGCCGGCCCAAGCTGAAAGGGCCGTACGCTTCGTACGCTAGGGAAGGTGTGTGTGTGTGTGTGTGTGTGTGTGTGTGTGTGTGACAGTATGCCTCGGCCTTTGAACAAAGGGCTGGGACTCTGTCTTTGTGCAGTTAGTCTCGTACTTGTGAAACTAACTGTCTTGGCTGTTTGGTCAGGCAGCAAGTTTTCGAATGATGAAATTACCAAGCGGGACTAATTAAGCATTTCAGTGTGGATTTTGCCAGCACCTTTTCCCCTCAAAGGTGGTATCTGTGCATATATAAAATTAGCCCTGTCTTAATTAAAGCGTCATTTTAGGCCTGTTTAAACGAGGCTCTTAATCACTCACAGTTGCATTGATGCTGAGATGTGCTGTTTGCTGAATGTCAGGCCCAGCGATTAATGTCGATTAATGGCCCCCTCGTTTGGATACGGTGTTTGCCGCCCACAGTGACCCCCACTGACCCGGCACCCCCCACCCTTCCCGTCTCCCCCAGACTCCAGCGATGATTCTGTGTCGGTGGCCTCCGGGTTGCCTGGCAACGAGGACGACGCAGATGAAGAGCTGAAGGCGGCCGCCCAGCAGCTCACCAAAGACTTCTACAGCGAGCTGATGCCCGGGGCAGGGGAGGCTTCGCGGGCAGAGGAGGGGTCGGAGGCCGAGTCTGAGCAAGTGGTCCTTCCCAGATACCCCCCGCTGGCCTCACTGCTAGGCCCCCTCCCCACTGCAGCCAGCCTGGGTCTCTCAGAGTCTATCCAGAAGTGCATCACTGAGAAGGATGTGGGTGAGTTAGGGGTGTCCCGCTGCACTCTTTGCTGCTCCCTTTTGACCTTTGACCTCTCACTGCTGGCTTCATGCTCAGATCAGTTAGCGGGGCCTCTGCTTGGGTGGCTTAGTACCAGCTGACACTGCCCTGAGCGTTTGAGAGCCCTGATGCTCGGCGAATCAGAGCAGCGCTTAACGTGGCCTGCAGCGTGCTGTTACCCTTTCCACTTGGCCCCTCCCTTACGCAGCGTGTCATTGGGGAGGGGGCTTCCCCACAGAACCAAATTTCTCTAGGGGGGGTGTCCTGGAGTCACCAAATTCTCTGTTTTCGGTTTAAACGTGGCATTTCTACATCCTCGCGGTCCTGCTTGGCTCACCCTTCTGGATCGGGCCTGAAATCTGTTCTTTGGTTCGGCACCGGAAGTCGTCTGATTCATGCATATATATATTTATGAATCAACACCTTATGCTAATGATGGCATGGCATTTGTTTGGGTGTTTAACCTGAAATTCCTGAGTTTTTTTTTTTTTTTTTTTTTTAAATCTCAGGGGAAACTGTCACTCTGAGCTGATAAAAAATGATCCTTGAAATGTGGCTTTAGCCCATCTATACAGGTACATGTTTAACGACTGCGTATGGTCCTGACTAGGCGGACTTTAGGCAAAACCACTTTTCTTACCATAAATATATAGTACTGACACAGACTATATACGTACAGCATACACAGTACTATACAGCTTAAAAATCTTGTATTGTAATACAATAGCAACAGTAACTAATCACATATGATAAATGCACACAATGATAGAATAATAATATTATACTCACACGCAATCCTTATAATCCACCGTTTATCCGTGAGAACCGTCGAGATCGCTAAATGCGCCCTGCCTAACTCGCGTCCAGTAGTATTCACATATTTTCCTTTGTGCTTTATTACTTTAATTTTGTTTCAAGGTCTATTACTTTCTTTTGTTTCTTGGGAGTACTTGTAGAACTTGTTTGATGGTGTTTGTGGTCCATGCTACACTTAAATATCGCGTAAATGAGAGCACTGGCTTGAGAATCTTACTGCGATCGTGTTTGCATACTGTCGGCCGTGCCGTAAGTAGGTCGCTATGCAGTTGTTTTTTGTCTAGTTTGGGATGGTGTTCAATTCGATCTATGCTATTTCTGTGGGAACTTGGTCATTAAGATGGCTGGTTGATAAGTGATGCATACCTGCATTTAACCCATCAGATTTGAATGCGCACAGTATCTGTGCAAACTCCTGATTTGGTTTCTCTGGCTCTCTTTCAAGCTCCCTCCCTCTTAGTGTTTTTGATGGCAGTCCTTGATATCCATGTGTTTGAACATGCATGGTCTCACAGTGCCTACCCCCCCCCCCAACCTGCTCCACAGCAGTCTGTTGTCCTGTGCCCGTCTGCTGGGTTTTTCCTTTGCTTTCATCGTTGGGAGGGGGGCGGGGTTTGTGCGGCTGGGTTAATTGTGGTGGATTTTTGCTGCCAGCGTTTGGGGGGGCCCCAGTTCAGCCCTCAAGGCTCAGGGGGCGGGAGCCGTACCTTGTGATTAGCCTTCGCTCGCGCTCTCATTGCCAGACTGGGGGTTTTTCTCTGTTGTGGGGGGTGGGGACCTCCGAGTGGCTCCTATGGATGTGGGGAGACAGTGCAGTGTAATGAAGCAGAATGTGTCTAAGCCTGATGGGAGATACTCCAGGATATCCCAGCACAGAGGATGCTCAGTGCTTCTGGGATCATACTGGTGGATCTGCATTCAGTCTCCTCTCTGAATGGCTGCTGGGCCCCCATTTGTTAGAGAGATTTGATTCTGTTTTGCTCAAGCTATAATGAACTCCTAAACCCTTTTAAGGACTTCCTGTGTCAGACTCCTCGGTAAATCTGCTCCCCCTGCCCTGACCACGACCCCCAACCCCCACCTGACCTCAGATCAGATTTCTCTGTAGAAGCTCTGCGTTGTGGTCAGGATGTGACCCCACAGCAGCTCGGGTCTCCCGGGTCACGGCCCCTCCCCGCAGGACATTCCTCTGTGTCGCACTGCTTACTAGGCCAGTTCTCCAGGAAGGCGGGGGCTAAAAGCATTCGCCCCAAATAAATGCACCTCCACCCAGGAGAGGGGAAAGGGCAAATTTAACTGAAAATCTTGCCTGGGGTGAGCTAATTCCAGCCTTTGCTGTATGCCTGAGAGCTCATCTCAGAAAAAGAGAGCATGAAATCCAGTATCAGCAGTGTCAGGTGTGGAAATCGTAAGCTTTGTTCTGATTGGCTGGTGCCCCCCCGAATGGCTCTGGCCGCAGATGTAACCCCTCTCAGCATGGCGCTATGGCATAGCGGCCCACGTCACGTGATCGGCTGACCTAAGATGCTGGCCGCCGGCCCCCAGTCCCCGGCTGTCGGACGGCCCGTTCCGAGCTGATTTCCGTCCCGGCTGGCCGCCACGCTGCGCAGTCTCTGCCCCCACCCCCACCGCACGCCATCTGAGGCGCGGGCCGGGGCAGTTAAAAGCGCCTGTTATTACCCCTCATCGGGGGTCACACTCCTGTGGGGTAAAAGATGGAGGCAGCTCGAACCCCCCCCCCCCCCCCGGCTTTGCCGCGGTACAAACGGCAGCCGCAGTCATCTGCCATGTGACCCCGCGATGATGTAATTAGGAATCTGCTCTCCTGCCATGACATCACAACTGGCGCTGGGCCACATTGGCCGGCTTTGTCTGCTCTCTTAAAGAGACAGGCGGCTCCCAGATCCTACCCTGCTTTTCACCCCCAGCTTTTCTCTTTTTCTGTATCCCTGGCTCCTTACACTGATGTTTACTGTACTTCTCTGCTCACCCTAGTGTTTAAAAGGCTGTTTTGATATGTTGGGCCCATTTTTTTTCCCTTTGCGCTGGTGCTTGGGCGGCCCCCTGGTGTACATGCTGCCCAGGCCTTGCGCGCTGAGCTGGGAGTGGGCTGACAGATGGCACGGCACACCCAACTACCCACAAGTGGGTGTCTGCGCCAGACCGCTGGGGGAGGTGATGGGGGCGTGGAAGGGAGTGGGGGGGGCACTGTGCCCCAAACACAGGTTCCCACGCTGACCCTCTGTCAGCACCGGCACTGGTGGTCGGCCACACGGTACAAACGGGCGGCCGGAATGTCTGAAGCTCTTTCTAGGTCAGCTGGCCCTCAGCCAAGGGAGGGGCATACCTGCCCCCCCCCCCTCCGGGCCTTATCACTCGTGGGTTAGTCCTGAAGCCCCAACCCTGGGAGATGCCAAAGAAACTGGGACAAGCCCAGAACACTTCTTAACAAGGTCCAGAAAAGCATCCGGAGCAGAAGTCCTCGCTGGGGTTTCTGCATCGCGGGGGTGAGACCAGGCCCGTGTGACTCAACCTCTGGCTAAGCTCAGCCATGACGTCTGCGGCATGGGGGGGGGGGTCAGACTTCCTGCGCTCATGTGACTGTGCAGCTCTTCCTCAGCCCTGTTACAATGGCTATGGCAGGAATCGGAGCCAGTGAATGTTGTCGCCTGATGGACTGTGCGTGTATTTGCGTGTATGTTTCTCCTTCTGAGTGTGTGTGTCTGTGGATTGACTGTGGGGATCTGTCATTGTGATTACATTGTGATTAAGTATTGTCGACGTGCAGAGGGTGGAGATGATCATTGTGGTAGCAGCTGATTTGAACAGTAATGTGAGTTGAGCGTGGGACCTGGAGGCACAGTGGAGAGGTCCCCGGCGGCACAGTGGAGAGGTCCCCGGCGGCACAGTGGAGAGGTCCCCGGCGGCACAGTGGAGAGGTCCCCGGCGGCACAGTGGAG